AAGGACTTCATGACTAAAACACCAAAAGCAATGGCAACAAAAGCCAAAATTGACAAATGGGATCTAATTAAACTAAAGAGCTTCTGCACAACAAAAGAAACTACCATCAGAGTGAACAGGCAACCTACATAATGAGAAAAAATGTTTGCAGTCTACTCATCTGACAAAGGGCTAATATCCAAAATCTGCAGAGAACTCAAACAAACTTACAAGAAAAAAACAACCCCATCAAAAAGTGGGTGAAGGATATGAACAGACGCTTCTCAAAAGAAGACATTTATGCAGCCAACAGACAACATGAAAAAATGCTCATCATCACTGGCCATCAGAGACATGCAAATCAAAACCACAATGAGATACCATCTCACACCAGTTAGAATGAAAATCAATAAAAAGTCGGGAAACAACAGGTGCTGGAGAGGATGTGGAGAAATAGGAACACTTTTACACTGTTGGTGGGACTCTAAACTAGTTCAACCATTGTGGAAGACAATGTGGTGATTCCTCACGGATCTAGAACTAGAAATACCATTTGACCCAGCCATCCCGTTACTGGGTATATACCCCGAGGATTATAAATCATGCTGCTATAAAGACACATGCACACATATGTTTATTGATCAGCACTATTCACAATAGCAAAGATTTGGAACCAACCCAAATGTCCATCAATGTTAGACTGGGTTAAGAAAATATGTACACCATGGAATACTATGCAGCCATAAAAAAGGATGAGTTCATGTCCTTTGTAGGGACATGGATGAAGCTGGAAACCATCGTTCTGAGCAAAGTATCTCAAGGACAGAAAACCAAACTGCATGTTCTCACTCATAGGTGGGAATTGAACAGTGAGAACACTTGGACACAGGAAGGGGAACATCACACACCAGGGCCTGTCGTGGGGTGGGGGTAGGAGGAAAGGATAGCATTAGGAGATATACCTAATGCAAATGACAACTTAATGGGTGCAGCACACCAACATGGCACATGTATACATATGTAACAAACCTGCACATTGTGCACATGTACCCTAGAACTTAAAATATAATAAAATAAATAAATTAAAAGAAAAAAATAGGGACTTCTCAGAAAACTTCTAATTTATAGATTCCAGCTTAACCATTCTGTAGTTAACTCTTTCTATGAATTAACATAAAAATATCGCAGCAATGTAATTCCTATTTTATGCTTTATTGTTGTTTCATTTGGTTTATCAATGTGATGTTGATATTGGCATTATAGCTAATTACAACAGTATAATTTTGAAATAATGAAGCAAAATTAATCTTTTGCAATATCATTGCCTGGTTTTGTCTCATTCATAGCAGGGATAATAGTCATATAACCTAGCACCTCCCAGGATTATTGAGAGAATCCAGTGACATAATGTCTATGAAAGTAAGGCTCTCTAGAAAGGGTGATGCCCTAAGAGTCAGAATTTATGTAATTATAAGTGACCTAACTTTTCTAAACATCAGTTTCTTCTTCAGAAAAACTGGCATAATCTTCTATATAGTGAATGGGTCAAGCTACATCATTTTGAGTTTCCTGTATAACTCAAAATTTTCTGTTTCCCATGGTCTACTTTCAGCGTTATTGCAAGAATCAAAGGAAATAGCTGTATTCCATTATGGAAAGAATGTGAAATAGGTTGTCTTTTATATTTTCTAGCAGTATTGAGGTGTAATTTGTGTACATTAAATCTATTCATCTGAGTGTTGAATTTGATGAGTTTTGACAAGTGGATATGGTTGTGTGATCACCACTGTAATCATGATGTGGAATATTTTCACCCTTCTAGAAAGTTTCCTTGTTCTCCTTGCAGTCAGCCCTCCCCACCTTAACGCTTGCCCTGGCAACCACTAGTCTGTTTTAGTTTTGCCCTTTCTAGAACTTAATACACTGTAATCATACAGTATATAGTTTTTGTGTATCTGGATTCTTTAGATAAACTTTAAGTGATTCTATCTAATCACTCCCCTCTTAATCGGGGAGAATGTGTTCCAACGTCCCCGGTAATACTTGAAACCACAGATAATACCAAACCATATATATTCTATGTTTTTCTTCCACATACATATATATGATAAAGTTGAAATTATAAATTTGTCACAGTAAGAGATTAACAATAATAATAAAATATGAAAATTATAGTAATATACAATAATAAAAGTTATGTAAATGTGTGCTCTCTCTTAAGAGCATGAGTGCTCTCTCTCTCTTAAAATATCTATTGTATGTAATATTTTCAGACTGTGATTAACCATGGGTAACTGAAACCACAGAAAATAAAACCATGAAAATGGGAGGAATATTGTAATACTTTGGAGAATCACCCATATTATTGCGTGTATCAGAAGTTTGCTCCTTTTTAATGCTGGGTATTACTTCATTGTTTGGATAGCCCACAATTTATGTATCTCTTCACCAGTTGATGGACATTTATTTGACTATCAGGAATAAAGCAACAGTGGACATTTATATAAAACAAATCTTTCTGTGGACATACGTTTTCATTTCTTTTAGCTAAATACAGAGCAGTGAAAGTGCTAGACCATATGGTAAATGTATGTTTAACTTTATGAGAAACTGCCAGAGTATTTTCTAAAGTGGCTGTCCCATTTTTGCATTCACATCAGTAATGTCAGTTCCAGTTACTTGACGTTGTCAGTAACACTTGGTATTGTTAGTCCTTTTAATTTTAGACTTCTACTAAGTATGTAATAATGTCTAATTGTTATTTTAATTTTCATTTTTCTAATTGACTAATGAAGTTTTACATTTTTTATGTGCTTTGTCACCATCTGTTTCTCTACCTTGGTTCAGATCTCTGTGCCCATTGTTTGATAGGGTTGTTTTATTGGAGTTATAAGAGTTCTTTAGATATTCTGTATAAGTTCTTTATCCCTTAATATGTATTTTGGAAGTGTGTTCTCTTCGTCTTGACTTGCTGGGGTTTTTTTAATGCATCTTTTGAGAAATGGAAGTTTTAAATTTTGATGAAGTCCAGTTTTTCATTTCAAGAATATTTTGTGATTATTTTTCTCCTATAGAAGAAATCTTTACTCAGATTCACGAAGATCTCTAATATTTTCTTCTATTTTTTTTTCTTTATCCAGTGTTTCATATTTTAACTCTTAAATTAAGGTCTATAGTACATTTTAAGTTATTATAGAGGGTAGAAAGTACTGCTTTCTTTTTTTAATATGGATATCTGAATGTTCCAAGACCTTTGTTGAAAATATCATATATGACTACATATATCTGAGACACTTTCTGAATTTTGTTTGATTGATCCATGTGTCTATCCTTAAGCTAATACCACAGACTTGATTGCTGTAGCTTTATAATAAGCCTAAAATCAGGACACGTAAGTTGTCCAGTTTTGTTCTTCTCAGAATCATTGGCTATTCTAAGTCTTGGCTATTCTAAGTCTTTTGATTTGCCATACAAATTAATAATCCTGTGAACTATTTTTTTTTTGAAAAGCTGCTGAGATGTCAATTATTCTTTTCCAGACATTTTTACTCTTTATATTCTGTAGGTAACCGAAAAACAAACTTAGATAGACTAATCGACACAGGAAACAAAGATAAACTTTTGGTATTTGCCATATATGTTATAAACAAGAAATCAGAAAATTGAAATCATATGTAGGCTGGAGATTTTTTAAATTCCCTGTGTTTTTAAGAAATGTCCAAGTCAGGATTTCTGAGCATTCTTTTTTGTTTGTTTGTTTGTTTTACAGACAGGATTGCTTTCTGTCACTCAGGCTGAGGTGCAGTGGTGTGATCATAGCTCACTGCAACCTCAAACTCCTGGGCTCAAGCAGTCCTCCTGCCTCAGCCTCCCGAGTAGCTAGAACTACAGGCACATGCCACCATCCCCAGCTAATTTTTTTTTTTTAATCTCCTGTAGAAATGGAGGTGGTCTTGCTATGTTAGCCAGGCTAGTCTAGAACTCCTGGCCTCAGGCCATCTTCCCAAAGTGCTGGGACTACTGGCATGAGCTACTGCCCCCAGCCCTGAGCGTTCTTTCTACTCCGTTTAAGAATTTTGGTAGTTCTCTGGTTTATTCACTTTCTAAAATCCAGCTTATTCTGTAAGGCACTATGTTAATTTTTTGGTCATACTTGGAAATGACACATACTCCTAATAGCTATTGTTCTGGGGACTACTTTTAGAAGCAAGCTGCTTCTTTTCATGTACTTCAAGTATAACTTTCTGCCTTAATTTCTTTATGATTATTGTCGCTGATTTGCCTCACCAGAGCCATGTATAAAGATTTTTTTTTTCCATTTGTTATGTTTGAATAGCTGGCCATAAACTGCTTTAACAAATGTCTGTATGAGTAAATTGTACTTTTAGCTAGAAAGCAAAACAAACTTCCAGCTTAAAATTTATAAAAACCATAGTGTTCTAATTATAAAGAAAAACTGGAATTTGGAAAATTTTTCCCCTCCTATTTTCCTGCTTCTTTATTGATGTTCTCAGGCCTGTAACTTCTTAAACCTCGAAGTCTTTTTAAACTGAGAGACAGCTGTCCTTATAGTCAAAATCAATCTCATAGATAATTAAATGCTACACTACCACACATTTCCAAACTCTGAAGCATGGATGTTTATAATATGCTTTTATTCCCTCTAAAACAGTCCAACTTTTCAATATACACTATTAATGAATTGAAATATTCATCATAATGCATTAAAATTTTAATCAGTGTTATTTTTAATTAAATGATTTGAACTTGATGAAGAAAAATAAGACCTTTTGTGAAAACAGGATTATGTTCTTAGTAAATAATTGACAAATGTTATAATTCATGATGTGTTTAAACAGACTGGTTTGCCATCATTAAAATATCACATAATACCTACTTTTATGTTTTTCTTCTCTGTTTTAGGTCACAGTGTGAGAAACATCCAGGCCTTTGCAGTTCTTCAGAATGCATTTTTAAAAGCAAAGACCAGCTTCCTTGCCCAAATCATCCTTGATGCTATCACAAATATCTACATGGCTGACAATGCCAATTACTTCATCCTGGAGTCACAGCACACATTGTCACAGTTTGCAGAGAAGATTTCTAAACTCCCAGAAGTACAAAACAAATACTTTGAGATGCTGGAGTTTGTTGTTTTTAGCTTAAATTATATTCCTTGTAAAGAACTTATTAGTGTCAGTATCCTCTTAAAATCTAGCTCTTCTTATCACTGTAGCATTATTGCAATGAAAACACTTCTTAAGTTTACAAGACATGACTACATATTTAAAGATGTGTTCAGGGAGGTTGGCCTTTTGGAGGTCATGGTAAACCTTTTGCATAAATATGCTGCCCTGTTGAAGGATCCAACTCAGGCACAAAATGAGCAAGGTAAAATATTGTCTGTAATTTTATTTTTATTTGAAAAGGGGTTCAAAGCAGAGAGTTTTTTGTTCTTGTTCCCATTCTTTGGTTATTGATTTCAATGACTTCCTAATGTGTATTATTGTGACATATTAGTGAACTATATTTTCCAAAATTTACAGGTTCATTCAACCTCTGTTAGGGAATTGAGGAGGAGGAAGCTAGAATTATGTCAGTATATTGGAGAGAGTTTAAAGGAAGGTAAAAACCGAGGAAGAACTTGTGTGATCCACATGACTAGTATCTACTGCCTTCTGCTTCTAAGAGCGAGTTTTAAAAGCTTCTGAAAATAATCAGATTTATTAATTACAACTAATAAATATAGTTAAATGTATAGTTACTTCAACATGTTTTTATTGTATAGAGAAAATAAGTATATTTAATGATGTTATATACACAATGTGTTATCATTGCGTACCTCTCTGATAAATCTGATAAAAGTACAATAGTATCTGGTAGTTAATAAGTATTAAATGTGAATTAATACAGGTTGAATAGGTAACTTTATTCATGACCTTTTCTCTCTTTGGTGAATCAAAATCTAGCATTCTCCTATTGACATCCTTTATTAGGAAAACCCTCTGTGAAGATGATATATTTAACCTTTGTATTTTCATTTTTTATATTTATTAGATAACTGCCACTTGCAAGCATACTGAAATAAAATCTGTTAATGTTGATTTTGAGCCTACTTTTGCAAATGTTGGACCTATGCATCATTTTAAAGATTATATTATATGTGTCATATTAGGGGTAAAAGTGAATACTGAAGAAATAAAGAAATTATTACAATAAAACTGAATCAAGAAAAAATAAGCTTATCACTTTTGTAATTTGGACCTTTGAATCTTTTTTTAGGGGACTCAAGAAATAATAGTTCAGTTGAAGACCAAAAACACCTGGCTTTATTGGTTATGGAGACCTTGACAGTGCTTCTTCAAGGATCAAACACAAATGCAGGTAATTTAAAAAGCTATAAGCAAATACTTTGGGAGATTACCACTGGTTACATCTTCTGTGGTGATTCTTCCTTCTGAAATCTTCCTGTCACTTAAGAGAAAAAACTATTGATTCAGTTTGGTACCCATCATGTTCCTAAAAATTCAGTACTTTACTTTTGACCATTAGCAGTACCTTGATGACAAAACATATGACATTGTTACTATTTCAAAATGATGTTTAAATTGCTTTTTATAGTGTCTTCTGTTTAAAGTATTCTTCTAATTTTTTACTGGTACACTCTTACTCAAGTAAGTTGCTATTTAATTTTTTCCTAAAATATTTTCTTTACACAGTGATTTAAAAAATATTTTTAGTACTACAAGTTAGAGTATTATAATGTTACGACCTTCAGAAAATACTGAAAAATGATTCTCTAATAAAACGTAACCTCTCCAAGGTTAATTAACTTTACTAAATATTTTGTTTAATTTTGGTCTCAATTTCTCTTTTATCCTTTTCTACCTGTCATTAACAGATGGGCCAACTATATTTATAAAATATCACTCTTGCATTTTAAAAAAGATTACTTGAGATTTTAATTAACATCAAACAACTCTCAGGTAATAAGGTCAGTGCAACTTCAAAGGAATAATGAGGGGAAAATGAGTTCAGATTAGTAGGCTGGGCCCAAATCATAGGGAGCTTTTTAGGCCATGGTAAGGAGCTTGAATTATATTTTAAGTGTTATGGAAAGCCAGGGATGAATGAACCCCATGCACTTGCATGACTGCCTGAATGCAGAGAAATTCAGCATTCATCATGTTTTAAATATATTGTGTATCCCAGGTACCATGCTAGCTAGGTGTTAGAATAACACCTAGATGCCAAGGTAAGATCGTTCTTGCTCCCCGGGAATTAGAATCTAGTGAAGAAAATGTAGACACATAATTATAAAAGTAATTAGTTTAATACAACTTTGGCAAGTACCAAGACTTGAATGAATTTAACAGGTAATTGAAACAATGAGTATGATGACTTTAAATTGATACTGTAGTAACATTTTGTCTATGGCATAATGCATAATCTTATTTCCACTAACTAGGTTTAGTTAACTGAGGTACTCAGAAACATAATAAAGATACACTAACAGGAATTTGCTTTGCAAATTAACTTTCCTTGAGAAGACCTAGAAGTTGCACAGGAAGAGATTGGACAATTGGAGAGCTTACTCTGTGTGACTAAAAGTCACTTAGTACATCTCCCAAAGTGCCAAACACTTTCATACAATTCTTTTCAGTTTTTCTCTTCCTAATAGGAAAGAGATTACTAGCTCTGTGATGTTAGGCACAAAACAGTGCTTTACTCACAGTTTAAGTATTAAATAATATTAGCCATTATGATTATCTAGTGGGTCCTTACTGACAACCGGGAGATAACTAAACAGGCCTTCAGGTAATGAAAGGCTGTCACAAATTCCATGTGCTGAATCTCGAGCACATGGCTTAGACTGACTTCATGATCATACAATTTTTATGAAGTTAGCAAATAGAAAGCCACTAAGCAGAGAGGGCAGTGGCTGCTATAGCAGAATACACTGTTTCAGTGAACATTTATTGAAACACAGGAGAAAATCCAATAGTCATGAAAGACCAAATATAAATAATAATAGTAAGACTGTTTGTTATAAACCATAATAGAGATATAAACAAGATGTCCTAAAAATGTAAGGGATAGAAGAATTACTTAGAGGAAATACTAATTAGTCATTTCAATCACTGGGCCCATTTTTTTAATACTGGAGGATGATATTAATATTTGATGTGAGAACAGTATCACTTGTGAGCAGGATCACAGGCTTACAGAGCTAGGCTGTGTAGGCATACATCCTTTTCTGTTGCTTACTAGCTGTATGACTTTGACTGCCTTACTTCTATATGGTAGGGGATGAGTATTAAGTAAGTCAATCTGTGTAAAGGCTTTGGAGCAGTAACAATGACACATGCTTTCTGTTACAGAATTTGTCACTTTTTGTTCTTATGCTCTACCTATGCAACAAAACATGTTGGTCCCTTGTAATTTTTCCCATGGTGGAATAATTTATTCCATTTCTTTCTTGCTACTATTTTGGAAGCCATGTTCATTTAAATTTCCTTTATTTAGGCTGTTGTTCCTCTGAAAGCCTTTTACATAAGTTGATTACAATATAGAGTCTCCTGGGGTTTACTTAAGAGACTTCTGAATATTCTAGATTTTGAGAGCTTGGGCATGGTGAACATATCACGGCATTAATCTTGCATTAAGAAAATGTAGAGAAAATGTGCGTATACCTTTGCTGACAACCCGCTGTGCAAATTTGTATTGTAATTTAAAAGGTGAAATCATTGGGTAGGTTTTATTTACATTATTTTGTGTTACTTTACGAAAAATAATTGAATGTTAATTTATCTGACTTGTCTCAGAGTATTTTAAAGTAGCCATTATTGGACTTTTTTTCCTTCCTTCAAGGAATTTTTCGAGAATTTGGAGGTGCAAGATGTGCACATAATATAGTAAAGTACCCTCAATGCCGGCAGCATGCCCTGATGACTATCCAGCAGCTGGTGCTCTCTCCAAATGGGGACGATGACATGGGCACTCTCCTGGGGCTAATGCATTCAGCCCCACCGACAGAATTGCAGTTGAAGACTGATATTTTAAGGGTAAGTTTGATAAATGTGTTTTCCCTCTTCTACTACTAAAATCTGTGGTTATTTTAAAATGATCTATATTTAAGTTAGAGGCAGGGAAATTTAAAAAATCAAAATTACCCAGAAAACCTCACAACTTTGTGCACATTAGGAATTTGGAAAAACTCCAGTCATTTATGTCTTTCAGTATATATTTAACTTACTGCTGATAAACCTTTGCAGTAATTATCTTGACTTATTGGAACTCTTAAATTAAATATTAGTGAAGTATAGGATCTTAATAAATACTAAATATATATATTTTCTGTTCAATTGAATTCACTCATAGTGTTATGCATCTGTGAAATGAAATGCTAGATTTGACATTATATACACATGCATGCATATATGTATGTATGTAAGTAATGGATATCCTAGTAGATATCAAACAATATACCAGAAGTTTTACATATGCTTTTATCATTTACTCCTTAGCAATATTGTAAAGTAAGTAGCCCCCTGTTTTGCAGATGAGAAAACTTAGGTTTAAAGAAATATATAACATATATTGTTTACGTAAGTGACTTTTAGTTAGTAGAACTGACCCCCAGATTTCAATACCCGTTTTATTTCCACAGCACCATTGTTTTACACAGACTTATACACTCACATTCTCTCATATTACTGAAATCATTGATACTGTAAGAAATGATATGTAAGAAATTTTTAGAATCAAAATATAATCAAATGTTTCACTTTCATTTAGAAGTGAATTTAGTAATGCAAGTAAGGTGTAATGGAAAAGTAAAGACTATTAAATATTAAATGATATATTTTAAAAAATTCCAAGTTCCAGATATAATAGTAGCTAACATTTATTGACTGCGTTCTATTAGTACTATTGTATGCATTTATGTGCATCTACTTATTTAATCCTTATGATAAAAATAAATACTATTAGTGTCCCTGCTTTACATATTACAAACTGAAACACAGACTGGTTAAAAAATTTTCCCAACTTGTATATGCCTAGTAGGTAGAGGAGCCTTGATCTGAACCCATGTAGTCTCTTTATAAAGCTGTGCTTTTAACTTATGTGCGGTGAATAATAGTTGTTTTAATAAAAAGAGACATAGCCTTCTCTTTTTGTGACTAAAAACCTGCTCTTGTATTTAAATAATATCTGAGTAAAGTGAGAGAAGTCCATTAAAATTTATGTTCTTTAATTTATTGATTGACGCAAGGTTTCTAAATACAATTTTCCATTATAAGGATTCAGGCCTCCTTGGTGAAATGCTTGATTCCAGGACTAGGGCAGAGAAAGAAACAAAATAAGCCTAAAACATTTCAGTTAGCCTTTAAAAAGTAAAGAAGAGATCAAAGAAAATAATTAAGTAAGTACAATCAAACAAATAAATGAGAGAAAAGGAAAATCTCTTATTTATAGTCAAAAGTCAAAGAAAATCACCATTATGAACTATCATAGTAATAATTAGTTCAGGTAAAATTCATCACTGGCTACTAAAGACAGTAGATGAAAGTTTTAGAAATGAAAGGATTTTTGCATAGTCTTAAATTGTGTCCTCAAAAGATATTTCTTAATTTCGAGTGCTAAAATATTAACTTTACAGTGGACCCTACCTTAACTAAATGATCAGCATTAACTTTGCCAGTGATGGACAAATGAACAGCATACACCTCCTGATATGAAGCACATAGAAAAATTCAGCTCGTTTTTGTAGTTTTTCCTCCCAAAAGTATATGATATGAATCTGTTTATTAGAAAACATCACATAAATCCTAATAGGAGAACATTCTATGAAATAACTGGCCTAAACTCTTAAAAAAAAATGAAATGAAAAATGACTTAGGAACTGTTCCAGAAAGTAAAGAGGTTGAAGTGACTACTGAATGTAGTACATGAACTTGAATTTTCCTTTGTTATGGAGAATATTATTGGGATTTGGAAAAAACACAACATCTGTAGATAAAATAATTGCATTATTTCAATGTTAATTTTCTATTTTGAGCATTGTACTGTGAGTAGTAAGAGAATTCTATTTTTTGAAAAACACACTGAAGCTTTTAGGGGAAAAGGGAAGTGGAGAGAGAGAAATTAAGTAATATGGTAATTTTTCAAGAATCCGAATGAAGGATATCTGTGAATTCTTTCAACTGATTATGCAGTTTTTCTTCAAGACTAAAATGACATTAAAATAATAACAGACAAACCAGTGTGTTTAACCTTGCTTGCTTCCAAGGCCCTTGTGACCCGATCTCCCTCTCCTCTGACGACTTCTACTAGTACTCTCACCTGTGGATGAGGAAGACGTTATTTTTCCTCTACCTGCTGAGTTCTTAGCTAGGACAGACTGGTGTTACAAAAGACAAAATAGCAAGAGAAAAACAAGCAGAAGTTTATTAACATGTGTACCTCATATGTGCATGGGAGACAACCAGGGAAAGATGACTAATTCTCAAAGAGGTGGCTTAGAACTCCATTTTATATGGTAGTCCCCCCATATCTTCAGGGAAATACATTCCAAGACCCCCAGAAATGTCTGAAACTGCAGATAGTATGGAACCCTATATATACTATGTTTATACCTGTGATAATGTCTAATTTATAAATTAGGCACAGTAAGAGATTAACAACAATAACCAATAATAATATAGAATAATTATAACAATATGCCAGTGTCCCTACTCTTGTGCTTTGGTGCCACTATTAAGTACAATAAGGGTTACTTGAACACAAGCACTGGGAAACCTCCACAGTTGCTCTGATAACCGAGACTATACTCAGTGACAAACGGGCAGGTGGCTTATACAGCATATGTACACTGGACACGGGGATGAGTCACAGTGGTGTGGGGCAGTGTGAGATTTCATCATGTTACTCTGAACGATACACAATTTAAGACTTTTGAATTGTTGTTTTCATTCAATATTTTCAGGCCAAGTTTGAGCACAGGTAACTAAAATGAAGGAAAGCAAAACTGCAGAGAAGGGGGACCACTGCGTAGCATTCTCCACAAAGAACCGTACATTTTTAGAGAAATGATGACATAAAGAGAAAGGACTCTAGGGATATCTAATTGTGGGAAGGCAAATAAATGGTAGATAAAGAATAGTTGGTAGTTTGTTTTGTGCATTTATTTGCTGTCTCCAGGCTGAGAAGGGTCTGACTTCATCAAATAGGGAATGGCAGAGAGTTTTCTTATATCTACTTCTTCTCAGTTGCCTTCAACTGAAAATAATCCTTATGCCAAAGTGGCATCTTTTGGGGTGGCATATACTAGTTTCCTACATGCCCATTTCAGCCACAGACATTACAAGAGTTATTACTTCTATTTTCTTTTACTTTTATTCAATTAAATGCTTCATTGGTAATGAAAAAATAGCATTTCTTTCTTTATGCTGTTATATATTTCATCATGTTTTGATGGTGTATAATGACAATTTTGAATATGCATCTTAAAAGCAAGATTAATCTCACCACAATTTATCTCTTAGACAAAAAGGATATCCACATGAATGTCAATATTTGAAGAACATTTTGTATTTGAAGGAATTGTTGGGAGAATATAGATGGCGTCAAAAGATGCTAAGGTTGCCAACTTTTTTAACATACCATTTTCTCCTCTTTTAGTACCTTATTAATTAGATTTTTAAAATATTGGTAAGCCAACAGGAAGTAGTTGACTGACCCATAATTTTGAGGCAGTGCTCTGGTTAATGTTAGTAACTGATTCTCAGGCTGGAAGAGGGCAGGAGAGGGTCGTGATATTTTGCATTTACAGATTTCCAGGGTATAAATACTCGCATTGTGGCCCATTCAATCAACTAATGTGCCACTGAATGTAGACTGGAAAGAGATGCACAGTAGTACACCATTATATAGCATTTCCTCATGCAGATATGCAAAAGCATAGACAATAGTAAAACTTAGAAAATAATTAGAAACTGATGAGTTTTGAGTATTACTTTTGTCTTTAAAATATTTAGTTGTAAATTTATTACTTAATTTTAAATTATGATTGTACGTTTAACAACTGACTTACAAAATTCCTGAAAATACAGTACTTGACCTCTTGAGAGCCGGTATGAGCTAGCTCTGGCATTCTGCTTTGAAGGGATAAAGTAGTGTTGTGTGCCAGTAGGGAAAATTTGGGTTCTCAGTTTCAATTTCCATTTTTATTTCATTCAGAATTGCCTCTTAGTTCCTCCATTCAACTGACATATACCACAAACCTATGTAATTTAATTTGTAATTATTTATACGCAAACCTGACATTCCATGACATGTCATGGAAATTCTCCTGATGCATAAATTTGAATTGTGTGAATTGTATTTATACAAATATAAATAATATATAGCTGATTTTGTCTTATTAACCAAGCAGCCTCTAGATCTCATTGCAACTTTGGTGTTTGCTACTCGTCATCATTTATTGATGTAAGTGGGAAGTTACATTATTCATGGTATTTGAAATTTTTCAAATACTGAGATTGTGCTGGGATAATGTCAGAGCGCCAACAGATACCAATTTTGAGGAAGTAGGAGGTGGGCCTGTCCAGAAGTACATAATATAAATTATTGGACTAAAGATTCATAAGCAGCAGTTTTTCTAACCTCAGTCATAATTCTAACCAGTGATAGCATTTTGTACATGTTACTTTAACTTTGAACTCACCCCTCCTCATCTATAAAATAATACTTGTCATATTTTTCTCCCAGTATGTTTTTGAAAATTGATTACAGTGATAGGCTTATATGCCAGGCACTTCTCTAAGTGTTTTTACATGTATTTCCTTTGAGGCTAGTTATTGTTGTTTCCATTTTACATAAGAGGAAACTGTGACACAGAAAGGTTAAGTAACTGGGATGGTTAAATGCTTTTTAATGTTGGAGTCGGAATATGACCCCAAGCATTCTGAGTTCAGCCGTCTTCAGGCTATGTTATAAGGAGTGTGTGTGTTTGCACCCACGCATACGTGTGTGTGTGTTGGTTAAAAAGTCTTTTGTTAATATGAGATATTTTAAGTATTAATACAGTTTATTAAATTTGACAATATAGGGAAACTATATTGTTACCAGATGCTAAAATGGAAATTTATTGATTAAAGACTATTGGAAGGAGTATATTGTTTCTATATTTTATTTACATACATATTGCATATTTTCTGTCTTTTAAAGTATTAAGGCATATATATGAACAATTAAATCTTCATAACTTCTGAAGCAGTGTATGTCAAAAGGTGACTAATATATTAATACAGGTTGAGCATCCCTCATCCAAAAACCTGAAATTCAAAATGCTACAATCTTTTTGAGTGCTGACAAGTGGAAAATTCCACACCTGACCTCATGTGATGATAAGTTGCATGAACAAAATTATTTAAAATACTGTATAAAATCACCTTCAGGCTATGTGTATAAGGTATATATGAAACATACATGAATTTTATGTTTAGATTTGGGTCCCATCCCCAAGGTAACTTACTGTATATGTGCAAATATTCCAAAATCTGAAACTTTTCTGGTCCCAAATACTTTAAATAATAGATACTCAACCTGTATGTAGCCTTTTCATTCTTCAGATACCATTAGAAATGTGTGAGATCTTTTAATAAAATGACTTTTTTCAAATGCAATGATTGGACAGATTAGAAATTATATCTTAAGTAATAGTAAATACCCATTGTGCTACAATTAATGAAACAGAGGGCAAAGGAGTCCACTGTATCCATAAAAAAGATTTCAGATTGCTGTTTGGGGCATAATGCCATGATTAAGTGCAGGAGTAGGGTAATTAGACTGCCTAGGTTTAAATTCTACCTTTATTATTATATAAGTTGTATAGTCTTTGGAGAGTTATTTTACCACATTGGGCCTCAATTCCTTTTCTATAAAGTGGAAATAATAATAGTACCTTACACACAGGATTGTTGAAAGGATTAAATAAGATAGTGCATAAAAGTACCTAGAATGCCTAGTACATAGCAAGTACCTGATAAAATATTAGGTGATTTTGTAATGTGTTTTTTAAAATCATAAGCTGGCCAGGGCGGTGGCTCACGGCTGTAATCTCAGCACTTTGGGAGGCAGAGGTGGGTGGATCACTTGAGGCCAGGAGTTTGAGACTAGCGTGGCCAATATGGTGAAATCCCATCTCTACTAAAAATATAAAAAATTAACTGGGCATGGTTGTGCGTGCCTGTAATCCCAGCTACTCAGCAGGCTGAGGCAGGAGAATTGCTTGAACCCAGGAGGTGGAGGTTGCAGTGAGTCAAGATGGCACCCCAGGACTCCAAGTTGGGTGATAGAGCATGACTCTGTTTTTGTTTTTGTTTAAAAAATATATATATCATAAGCTAAGTTAAAATTATGACAGTTCAGAAAGTAAATATTTGATTTACTTATGTACTTCAGGTTTTCTTTCTTAAAGCTTACAGCTGTTTTGGGAAAGATCATACTTTCAGCCCTCAGGCTTCAGTTCATTTTGGAAAAGAGAATGTTTAATAAGTCTTCTGAAGTGAATCTTCTTTCTAAAGAATGAATGTGGTCACTTTATAGGAGACAAAAGACCTCAGATCTTGGCTGCCCCGACCATCTCTCTGATCCCTTCTAGAATTAATCAGTTTCTATACGCATAGTCATAAGTTTTCATGATTGTGTAAAACTAGATTAGAAGATGTATTTTACTTACTTTGTAAAGTCACTGAATTCATTGATGTCATAATCAATTAAAGACTCTGGAAAAGCTCTTCAACCAATATTTGGATATAGCTTTATTCTATCAAAGAAATATGTGATATTGTTTCCTAAAATTACCTTCAGCATTTAATGTGACATTTTTTAATTAGCAAAATATTTGATATGCTTTATAGGACCGTTTATTGGGTAAATTTTACAAGCATGTCAGATTCACAGAATGTACAACCTCCATATACATGCTAGTGGTTTGTTTTTTTAATTACGTGTATTTTCATTTGTTTTTTTCTTTTGTCTCCTGTAGGCCCTCCTGTCGGTCCTTCGAGAAAGCCATCGTTCAAGAACAGTTTTTAGGAAAGTTGGAGGATTTGTGTACATTACATCCTTGCTCGTTGCTATGGAAAGATCTCTGAGCTGTCCACCCAAGAATGGCTGGGAGAAAGTGAACCAGAATCAAGTATTTGAACTTCTTCACACTGTGTTCTGCACGTTGACTGCAGCAATGCGCTATGAGCCAGCCAACTCTCATTTCTTCAAAACAGAGATTCAGTATGAGAAGTTGGCAGATGCTGTTCGATTTCTTGGCTGCTTCTCAGACCTAAGAAAAATAAGCGCCATGAATGTCTTCCCCTCAAATACACAGCCATTTCAAAGACTTTTAGAGGAAGATGTAGTCTCAATAGAATCAGTGTCACCCACGTTACGGCACTGCAGTAAACTTTTTATTTATCTTTACAAAGTAGCCACAGATTCTTTTGACAGGTATGGCTCTGCTCTGTCCTCTGAATTAAAGGGTGTATACTAAGCATGACTTCAACGTTAAGACTTGAATTATGAGTTAATCCCAAAGAATATGAAAGTAGATGAATCTTTTCTCCTGTTTGTTTGAGGTGTATCACTTTATTTTTGAATATTACTCTTGCTCTGATATTGTTTTTTTAGCATGGAAGCCTGTGTGCTATTTGTAAATTCAGGTTCCATTAGTTCTCATTGCAGTTACTGGAACAGATTCTATGAAGTTTCCTTTAATGATCGTGTTTACTATTGTCTTTTTTCTTTTTAGCCTTAAAAGGTGCATCTGGACTTACTGATATGTGTTATCAACAGAACATCATTATGATTATTCTTATTTCCAGACACATACTCCATCATTCTCCACATTTCGTACTCCTCAAAAAATGATATAGTTCCCAAAGAGAGATGTCAGTGTCTTGAACCATCAAGTTCAAGAGGCCATCAGACTCAGTATTTACTCATTCCTTTATGAAATAAGTACTTAACAAAACCTGCTGCATGCCAAGTCACTGTGCTAGGCATTGAGGATTCAGCTCTGTACAGGGCTGTCTTAGTCCTTGTTATCTTTTAGCTAAAATATAGACACATAAATAAACAATTACCTATAGTGTGACAAATTCTACAATGGGGAAATATAGGGTTCTCGGAGATTGTAGGAGAGCCACTTCATCTGGATCACTTATTTTCAGTACTTCAACTGTGTTTTCAATGAAGATGTCACTTTGAAAATAATACTTCTAATTTATGCCCCAAGCATTATTGCTTTTAACAGTTACCATAGTTTTACTACCTAAAATAAATGAAGTGCCCTCATAAATAGACCATGTAACTCCACTGGACAGAGCTTATAATAGGTTTTGTGTCCTTTTCTGTGGAATATCTGCTTTGAAGTATCAACTGAGATATTTCTTCCTTCTTAACAAGATTTCTTAGTGCTCAGTATTTACATTTAAAAATCTAAACAACTATGACAAAAATTATAAAAATTTTTTTTCTTTAAACTTCTGCTTTTCCCTATCTCGAAATAAAATGCACATATATGGTTAACTTATAGGAAACACAGGACAGTGTAGTGTTCTAGGAATGAGCTATATAAATTTGTGTATTCAGATTCAACCTCTTTTCCCTTGATTTCTTCTTATCCTAGTTAGAATATGTCATTTTTAGTCACTGTCAAAAATAGGGCCTAGAGCACCCTGTTTAACAGATGTGTTAAATGTTAACATGAATGGAATAAGCATCTGCCGTGAGCATGCTTTTCTGTTTCATTCAGTGCATGTGTTGTAGTCTTGTTCCTTGTTCCTGCTGAATATGGAGGATGTTCCTTATTAAACTTTTACTGGCATTTCTTGTGAAACTAACCAACTGCCAACCTGGTGTTCTCTTCTTCTAACCTCTCTAAACCACCCTGTCTGTTTTGTGTCTGTAGTCGTGCAGAACAGATCCCTCCTTGCCTGACAAGTGAGTCTTCTCTCCCCTCTCCTTGGGGTACACCAGCTTTGTCCAGGAAAAGGTACTGATCATATAAGAGAAGTCAGTCTCTATTTGTGTGGGGTTTCTTTTTTTCTGTGCTTATTTATGTTAACATGGTGATTGTGTTTTGTGATTTCAGTTTTGTTTTTTTTAACTTTTGGGTTTTGGGGGGTGTTTTTAGGTTTTAAAAATACCAATTTTTCTTATATACATGAGAGTAAAATGTGTTAATGCTATGAAACTATGAAGGACATATAATTTTGTCATCCAACTTTTTTATACTAAACTACACATTTTGGTTATAGAAAAAGCATGTCTTTTATTAAAAATAAGTTAGAAAAGTGGACTTAATGTCTCTAAGTAGAGTACTTTTCCACTTTTTTTCTTTTTCTTTTTTTTAATTATTATTTTTTACTTTAAACGTTGGGATCATTCTTTGGTTTTTACTATTATTCCAAAATGAATTTCATAGCATTGGAAGGAAATGTGTATTTTCTCCATCAGATTCAACCAATTGAAGTATGTTGCTGTTATGAAAAATGCTCACAGCTAAACTTTGAAAAAGTTAATAAAAAACCCACCCCAATACTTTGATCAGTTCTTTGTAAATCTCTAAGCTGATCTAGTTGGTCTTTTCAAAACTACCTTTAAAAAAATTCTACTCAAATTTTTAAAAACTGCAGTTGATTGACGGAAGTATAGTTAAGATCCACGTAAGATTACATTTGCAGCCCAACCATCAAATGATTATGGTCTGCAGTTGGCCCCAAATACTTCATTCTTTCTCCTGTTTTCCTCATAACCAAAAATAAGTCCTTAACTCTTACATTAATATTCTTTCATTGCGGCTTTTAAAAAATGAATCCCAAGGTGCTGCTATATTGTTGTTTTAATCTTATTACTATTGTTCAGATTTTGAAATTCGAAGACAGATGGAGTTAGTACATCAAAAGTATTTGTTATGGATTCTGTATTTCAACGTGTTTGCGTAGTAATATTAGGTATATGAAAAGATGCAATTTCCTTTTTCTCTTAAATTTACACTTATAGCTTACTTTGCACAGCAAATCGTGGCATAGTTCAGAATAGTCTTAAATGAATATAGGGTTGTTCAGTATATTTGTGCTTAAAAACTGCAATTTCTTTTTTAAAAAAAGAGCTCTTCCTAATTCGAAGAATGATAAACTAGGTAAATTCAAGTTGATATCATGTGTTTTTCTGTTGCTAAAATGGTCGAGGTAAAAAACAATGTGTGTTTGAAAATTTGTGTTTGCTCATGAGCCCTAGAAATTACTAAATGTTAGAGAAATAATTTTAATTAGTAAATAGTTTAAATTACTAAAAATCACAATTTAAAAATATGGTGATTATGTCATAATGAGTAATGCCTTAAAATTTGCTGTTTAAAAACATTTAGTCCTTTTTAAGTATTAACCAAATACCACAAAATAGAAATACACAGATTAAAAGGATACTTAAAAAAATACATCAGGGCCAGTTGCAGTGGCTCACGCCTGTAATCCTAACATTTTGGGAGGCCGAGGCGGGCGGATTGCCTGAGGTCAGGAGTTCAAGACCAGCCTGGCAACACGGTGAAACCCCCTCTCTACTAAAATACAAAAAAAAAAAAAAAGCCAGCATGGCAGTGTGCGCCTGTAATCCCAGCTACTCGGGAGCTGAGTCAGGAGAACTGCATGAACGCAGGAGGTAGAGGTTGCAGTGAGATCACTCCACTGCCCTCCAGCCTGGACTACAGAGCAAGACTCCATTTCCAAAAGTACATCAGAACTTTCTATTTATTTAAATGGTAATTTGACAAAGAGAAAACAGCATTTTATTTTTATTCTTAAAGAGTTACTTATGGCCTTAAATCAAAAACATATTGTCATCATTTGCAGTGTAGCTCCATGTAGAGATACCAGGTCTTTGACTTAAGGGAAGACTGTCACTAAATCAGTAAAGCTAGTTGATTGAGCCCTAATCCGTGTGAATTCTCCATGATCCTTACAAGTTGACATTCCCTCAAGGACAGAAAGCTCCTGATACTGTTCATGCTAATACTAAGATCATTGTTGACATTTTCAGGTTGCCATTCTATTCAGCTTGCATACATTTTGCTCAGCGGTAAGAATCATAAGCTAGTAAAGAATATAATGTTTTTACTTCACAAATTCAAGTCTAGTAACTTGAAATTAGAATTTAAGTCACACTATTTTCTAGAAACTCTCAACAAATTACATCAGCTTATAGACATCTTTTTCTTGTAGCAAAACATATTGGTTTTGTTGGCAAAAGGATAAACCAAAATTTAACTGTGTTTTTATGGCTTGTGGAACACTCTCAGATGCTAAGGATGTTTTGAACTTGTGATACTTGTCTGACATGTAGTATCCAGGAGATTTTTCTCTAATTATTTTAAGAATTGGGGGAAAATGAACTAGCTGACTTTATATTTGGAAAATTAAAACTCATAACCTTTTTCATTGTTCATTATTCAGAAGGAATAATAGAACAGAATTATAGCTGAACAGTGTTCAATCAGAGTTAGAAGAAGTGAATACAAAATAATAATCAGAACTCTACAGAATATGACTGCAGTGGAGCAAAAGGTGACAAGTACTTGTTATCCTTCAAACATGGGATCCATTATTTAGTGCCTCTACACACCTCATAAGTTAAGCAAAGCAGATTCAGAATTTAAATATTATGTATTCCCCGGAGAGGTGGATGAATCTTAAATATATATGAGAATTTAGGTTGAAATATTAAATAGCAACCAAATTATGAAATGTAATTTTATCCTATCTTTGGAAATGTTTAGTTCTTGCTTGGGAATTAACCATTTAATGAGCTTACCGTAATTCCAGAATTTAAAAAGTGATACCTATGGTGATACCTAGATGACTTAATCAGAATTAATTTTGTATAATACCTGTTGTAATACACCTAATTTTAGTTAATAAATACCGTGTTTTAGACATCAGCAATGTTTGCAATATTTTTCTGGTTTGAAAACAATGAATGTAATTCCTTTTTCAGAATATTGTTTTCTTAGATTAAAAAAAGTACTACTGTAATAATTGTATACAGGTTGAGTGTTTCTTGTTCAAAACACTTGGTACCAGTATTGTTTTGATTTCCAGCTTTTTGGATTTTGTAATATTTCAAATATATATAATGAGATATCTATGGGACCCAAGTCCAGACACAGAATTTATTTATGTTTCATATACATCTTATACAAGTAGCCAGAAGACAATTTTATGTAATATTTTTAGTAATTTTGTACATGAAACAAAGTTTTGACTCTGTTTTGACTCTGATCCATCATATAAGGTCAGATGTGAAATTTTCTACTTGTGGCATCATGTAGGTGCTTAAAAAGTTTTGGATTTTGGAGCATTTCAGATTTCAGATTTTTGGATTAGGGATACTCAACCTGTGTTAGTAAAGAGTTCAGTGTCCAAAGATATAAACATTTCTTCCTGAGTGTATCAGTAATTTAAATCCAAATCTCATCAAATCTGTCAATTTAGAAATGATTTTGGAAGGCCTATAACTAAAATAGACAATTAGAATCTATGCATATGTGTGTGTATGCAATGAAAACATTTTTAATGAAATTTTGGAATTCAGTGGTTATTTCTGATACATGCTAGGTAAATTATGAATCTGTTTTTTAGACGGATCAAAATATTTAAAATAATAAAGGGAGCAATATAGGAGTAGGATAACTGTTGGTAATACACATTTTGAAATATTTTTCTTAGTAAGTTTAGAAATTAAATCTTTTTGAATGAAAAATGGCAGAATACAGGGAGTGAAAACATGAATGGGTAAAGGACATGCTGACTTTTAAATAAACTAGGAGAGCCTATGCGCCTTTTTATAAGTAAAGCTGAACATTTTCCTAGAATCCCTGTTAAAAAGAGAACGGTATTTTTTTTTAAACCATGGCAGTGCCAATTCTTTGCTACTAAATCACTGACGTAAAGCATCTGTTTCCCAAGCTGCTCTTGTCCCAGAAAGCTAAAACTGCATTGCTCTCTGTGACAGAGCTCAGCATTAGGCAAATTATGCTGAGACCAACTCATTGGAACAAAGAGTTCCCATAGGCTGAAGCCACAAGCATCTGTTTCTTAGTGCCAAGATGCAAAATGTGCAAAATTCATGAATTGTAGATGAGTAGTATGAAATAGAAAGTAGAGATCATTGATGAGAAGAAGTGCGTACATTCAGGACATGGCTGGGTTTTCTAATTCACAGAAACTTGTTCTGTAAATTGTCTTCAAGTTTTTAAAAGTTGCAATGAATATTTTCAGTGGTAGTGAGGATAAATGCAGAAAATGAAAGCAGTTCCAAATAAGCTAAAGGAAAACTCCCACAATGCCAAATATATTTATTCTTGGATAGCCTAGCCTCTGAGACAACCCTGACTCAGTTGACCCCGTTAGTGTTACTCATGCACTAAGGAAAGGTTAAAACACATATAGGTAATTTCAAAAGATAAAATCTCATTGAGGGAATTTATTTAACTTGATCTCTCATCACATATTATTGGAATTGTCATCTTCCTAGAGCTTTGAATCACTATGATTGTACCTGTTCTTTACATCTTCTGGTATAGGTGTCATTTTTTAATCAAACAATCCATACAGTAAATCAGTAAAAGTAAAAATCATATAATGACTATGAATAATGGATAGTTACATGGTCTGCACACATCCACCCACACACATGCAGACACATACACATATCAACTCGAGTTGATAATATATTCCTTTTTTTCTATCCCAACCTTAAGTTGTTTTCTAACAAGGCTTTTTGGCTATCAGTGGATGAAAGTAACCGAAGAGGAATAGAATGTGATTGGAATTCAATACCAAATTTACCCTTTCGTTTTTTTATAGGCATGTATATCATTCTGTTTCAACTCCCCCTGTTTACCCTCCTAAAAATGTTGCTGACCTGAAACTACATGTGGCAACTTCATCTCTCCAGACTTCTGATGCAGTCATCATTCATCCTGGAGCCATGCTTGCCATGCTGGACCTACTGGCCTCCGTTGGGTCAGTGACACAGCCAGAAGTAAGCTTGGATATGTTAGTTCCTTCCCATCTGTAATGAAATGAATGAAAGGACGTGAGTGCAATTATATGAGCTAGGGGGTTGAGGAGAAAGTTAGTATTACATACTAAAGTAGCTGGGGAAAAAAAGGATTTTTTAATTTGAGTGTTACCTTTCATGATGAATGGTAGATATATATGTTTTAGAATCCAGTTCATTCGTTACAAAGGCAACCAAGGTGGTTTCTTCTGATACTAGAATAATTCTCTTTCTCCTTGTAAATCCTGCTCAGCAGTGGACATTGCTAATGAATAATACAGAAGGAAAAATGACTGAAGATACTACATTGAGGCTATTTGTCTGTTTTGACTTGTTGCACTCAAGAGTTTGGGTGAATTGGAGTTTGGGTGGTGATTTTTATTAAAATGTTATGTGGTCTCTAAGGCCTAAAGTGTCACAGATGTAAACAATGGGCTTTCCTTTAAACTAGTTATCTGCCCACCATTAAGAAGACTTTGTCCCTGCTATTTCTATAAAAATAGAACTACCTTTAGTCATACAGTCATGTAATACAAAAGTCTAAAGAGAATAGAATCCAGCTGCCTGTATTTCTCGCAAAATTAAAATAGGACATGTTTGCCTAAACTGTTCTGGAATTGCTATATTGCTCTAAGCCAGTTACTTAATTTATCTGAATGTATTTGGAAGCATATAGAGACTTCATGTTAAAAGGTATGCTTCCGGCCGGGTGCGGTGGCTCACGCCTGTAATCCCAGCACTTTAGGAGGCCAAGGCAGGTGGATCACGAGGTCAGGAGATCGAGACCATCCTGGCTAACACGGTGAAACCCCGCCTCTACTAAAAATACAAAAAATTAGCCTGGCGTGGTGGCGGGCGCCTGTAGTCCCAGCTCCTCGGCAGACTGAGGCAGGAGAATTGCTTGAACCCGGGAGGCGGAGGTTGCAGTGAGCCGAGAGCCGAGATCACACCATTGCACTCCAACCTGGGCGACAGAGCAAGACTCTATCTCAAAAAAAAAAAAAAAAGTAATGCTTCCGCCGGGCGTGGTACTAGAACTTGGGAGGCTGAGGCAGGTAGATCACCTGAGTTCAGGAGTTTGAGACCAGCCTGGCCAACATGGTGAAACCCCATCTCTACTAAAAATATAACAATTAGCTGGGCATGGTGGTGGGCGCCTGTCATCCCAGTTACTTGGGAGGCTGAGGCAGGATTATCACTTGAACCTGCGAGCCAGAGACCGAGCCATTGCACTCCAGCCTGAGCAACAAGAGCGAAACTCCGTCTCAAAAAAAAAAAAAAAAAAAGGTATGCGAAAAGAATTGTCACCTTTCTCACTAAAAATGACCTGACTGTGTGGATTTCTTTGTTGATTTTAGCATGCTTTGGATCTTCAACTTGCCGTGGCAAATATTTTACAATCCCTGGTGCACACGGAAAGGAACCAGCAAGTCATGTGTGAAGCTGGTCTTCATGCACGACTGCTGCAGAGGTGTAGTGCCGCACTGGCTGATGAGGACCACTCACTGCACCCACCCCTGCAGCGCATGTTTGAACGATTAGCCTCTCAGGCCCTGGAACCCATGGTATTGAGGTGAGTTCTCTTTCATACTCAAATAATCCACAATTAGTAATGTCAGTTTCTAGAGTCCTTATGATTCCAGAGTTCCTGGCTTAATGGACATATATTCCGTTATCTATGGGCAAAACATAACAAAAATGGACAAAATACTCAAAATATAGCACTTAGAAACAAATAAATCTAGTTGTTAGTAATCAGTTAGTGTTTCTGTCCATCAGTTATTTCTTTCATTTGAATCTAGCAAGCTCTCCCTTTCCTTTAAAAATAAAGTCATGCATTTACTTTATATTTAATAACTTTTCATATGTAAGAAGTTTTTAAAGAAATACTTTTTAACTTTTTAATTTGAAATAATAATAGATTCACCATAAGTTGTGAATATAGATCCAAGAGTTTTCCTGTGCCCTTTGCCCATTTTTCTCCAGTAGTTACACCTGACATAACTATACTACAGTATCCAAACCAAAAAATTGATATTGGTATGATGTATTTATGTGCACATACAATTATCTGTTATTGTATCACATGTAGATTCATGTAATCACCACACAATTACGATGTCACAAAGATTTCTCTAGTGCTACCTTTATTGTCATACGCACTCCCCTAACCCCAACATCGTTAGCCCATGGAAAGCACTGATCTGTTCTCCATCTCCATAGTTTTGTCATTATGAACAGGGGTCTCAAATCCCGAGCTGTGGACCAGTACTGGTCCATGTCCTATTAGGAACTGGGCTGCGCAGCAGGAGGTAAGCTGTGGGTGAGCCAGCATTTGCCACCTGTGCTCCACCTCCTGTCAAATCAGCAGTGACATTAGATGCTCATAGGAGCGTGAACCCTATTATGAACTGTGCATGCAGGGGATCTAGTTTGGGCACTCCTTATGAGAATCTAATCTAATACCTGATGATCTGAGGTGGAACAGTTTCATCCTGAAACCATCCCCCACAGCCCATCCATGAAAAAATTGTCTCCCACAAAACCGGTCCCTGATGCCAAAAAGGTTGGGTACTACTGATTTTGAGAATGTTACATAAATGAAGTTATATAGTATGTGATCTTTTGAAATTGTCTCTTCACTAATCATATTGCTCTTGAACTGCACACAAGTTGTTACATGTATCAGTAGTTTTTTCTGTTTGTTACTGAATAATGTTCCATATTATGGATGTATCACAGTTTGTGAATCATTCAAGAAATATATACTTATATATGTGTATTTCTTGAATGATTCATAGATATCTGTCATTTCCTGCAGGAAGCCTCCTGCTTTGAGCCACCCTTCCAAAAGTCTGGGTAGGCTGCCTGTGTATAAACTCTATAACACTGCTATTACAGAACTTATTATATTATAAAACTTCCACGAGCTTTCTTAAAAATGGTTGAAATTTATTTGTAAGTTTTTAAAACTGACTCCAAACTGTGAATTAAAAAACTGTTATGCTGTAAACATTTGTTAAATGGTGGTGTATCAGGCAGTGTTCACAGCCTTTATAATGCCAAGATGAGTGAGATGGACCTACTCACTTCATCCATTATCTTGTAGTTGTACTCACCATCCTGAAGTTTCGAAAATACCATTGAGATTTTCCCCTGATCCTTTTTGGTAATCTGCTACTTAAAAAGTAGAGAAACACAGAGAGAGAGAGAGAGAGAGAGAGAGACATTGTCCCATACCTAATGCTACTGTTTTACCAGATAACTTGTATTGCATAGTTAGATAAATAGAATAAGCAATGAAAGTCAACCATTGGGTATGTTCAGTTTTCACAATGAATGAGTTCTCACAAAAAAAAAGTCAAATGATGGTACAAGTACTTTGCTACTTAAAAGCCATAGATTATAAACTAATTGTGTCTAATGTTCTACATGAAAAACTGGCAAACCTAACTTGTAAGCCTTTTTTGTTTCCTGCTATAGGGAATTGGAAATTTAGAGAAGTATTCTACTTTTTTCTTTTTTAACATGATGTTGTAAATGACAGGATATGGAGGGCTCATGCTCTTAAAAAATGTATGGTCTAGTAAGGAATACATGCAGATAAGCAGGAAATGAAAATATTGTTTATTAAGTTTGTAATAGCAGTGTTGCAGAGTTTATATAGGGGCAGAGACTTTTGGAAGTGTGACTCAAAGCAGGCTTCCTAGAGGAAATGACAATTAATGAAGTAAAGTATGAGGCCGGGCAGTGTGGCTCATGCCTGTAATCCCAACACTTTGGGAGGCCAACGCAGGAGGATTACTTGAGGTCAGGAGTTTGAAATAAGCCTCTGAATAACATAGTGACACCCTGTTTCTACAAAAAAAAATATATGTATATATACACACATATATATTTTTTATATATGTATATATATTTTATATATGTATAAATATGTATGTATAAAAATATATAAAATATATATTTTATATATATTATATATATACATATATAAAAAATATAAAATATATATTTTTTAACTAGCATGGTGGTGTGTGCCTGTAGTCTTTGTTACTTGGGAGACTGAGGCCGAAGGATTTCTTGGGCCCAAGAGTTTGAGATTGCAGTGAGCTGTGATCACACCACCGCACTCCAGTCTGGGTGACAGAGCAAGAGCCTGTCTCACACACACACAAAAAATTGAGCTGCAATATTTTTTTGCAAAAAAAATTATAAATAAAGAAGTGTAAAGTATGGAAGAGGGTTAATCAGGTGAAAAAGTAAGGGCAAGAATTTTTTCCCCAACAAGAAAGACAAATATGTCTTTCTTCCAGGGTAGAGAAGGAGTACAGCTTTCTTAGGCAGTCAGAAGCTTTACGTATGTCTTTAGTGGAGTTTATGATTGGGGGAAAGATGGGAGCAGTGAAGCTGGAGAGTACAGTAGAAATCATCTGATGTATGGTACTAAATGCTAGCTGTTTTGTGTTTTCAACTATGAGAAATGGACAGCCATGAAAGAGTCTTAAGCAATAGAGTGACACTGTGTAGATTTAAGTTCTTTGAGATACTGACTGTAGTGAAGAATGGATTGAGTTGGGGCAACATTGGTGTCACAGGAGGTAATTAAGACTCTGTTTTAGGAATAGTAAAATGACGTGGTCTGGGTGATAACAGCAATAATGAGAGAAGAGAGCAGATTCCATATTTTTATGAGTGGAAATAGCAGGATTTTCTAATTTTCTGAATATGGAAAGTTAAAGAAAGGAGAAGGAACAAAAACACATTTCAGTGAGATGTAGAACAAAAGAAAAGCCCTGGGTTTGAATATAAGGTGATGAGTTTGGTTTTAGAAATATTTGAGTTGGGATTCTTCTTAAATATTATTAACTTCTAAAAAAATGAATTTATAAAAATGTGTAGCAGATATATAGCTATATGGTGATTACATGTAAAACTAACACTGTATATGTTTTATTATACTTGCATTTTTTGTATTGTAATTAGTCTGTTGGAATTTATTAAATTCCTTATTTGAAAATGTTTGGTTTATGAATTATAAATATTCTCAAGGAATAACTCTGAAAAGCAAATTTTAAAAAAAAGTGGCAGATATATAGCTATATGGTGATTAAATGTAAAACTAACACTATATTGTTTTATTATACTTTGCATTTTTTTGTATTGTAATTAGTCTGTTGGAATTTATTAAATTCATTTTCTGAATATTTCGTTTATGAATTATGTAACATTCTCAGTCAAGGAATAACTTTGCTTTGTCTCTTTCTTAGGGAGTTTTTACGTTTGGCAAGTCCTTTAAATTGTGGTGCCTGGGACAAAAAACTGCTAAAACAATATAGGGTCCACAAACCGAGTTCACTGAGTTATGAACCAGAGATGAGAAGTAAGTTGACTTTTGAAATTCCCTTTTTTGATTTATTTTATGAATGAAAATCATGTAGGAGCTGAATATTATTTCAAGAAGTTTGTGAAAGCAAAGAAAGAGAAGGGTTTATTGTTTAAATAGAGAAACAAAAGATTGGGTTGATTGAGGAAGGAGGCAGTTGGAGTGAGGAGGGAATCATTGGTGTTTGAAGGATCCAGAAGAGATAAGAATTACGGGCGGAACAACCCTTGGCTTGGAAAGGAGATACCTCTTTCTCAGAGGATTCATAATTTCTTGCCTTCCGCGAGTAGCCTTTGCTGCCTGGACTGAAGAATGGTTGATTATTGTTGACAGGCTGTGGATTTGCAGGACAGCTACTGCAGGAACACATGGAGGATAGGAAATTAAAAATACTGATAAAAGTAGTTGAACTGATACATTAATCCTGCTTATAGGTTGGATAGGGAAAGAAACGAAGCCAAGTGGCTAGTGATAGGCTGAGAGAAAGGGATAGATGGCCACTTTGGAAGGAAGTAGTGATCATATAGTTCAGCCCCTTCGTTTTTCAGGTGACAGTTCTGAGGTCAGATTAAACAAACTTCACCCATTATTTGAGTCTTAATTTTTCCTCATACAAGTTATTATCAGTGATTAGCAAATACTGTGTTTGTGTTTCAGAAACTTTAAGATATTCTGAGTTCTAACACTGTTGTATTAGAGAACAGAAATGATTGCAGGTTTTCATGTTAACTGATATACAGCTCCTGGATGCATATTTTGTTATTGTGATGTTTTTGTTATTATTTTTGTACTTTACACAGTTAGAATTGAATTGTGATTTCCTTTGCTAAGAGTAGAAACAAAAATAGTTCCTTTCCCTAAGAGAATATTTTAAATATTTTTATAGTTACCTGAATATCCAGCACATTTAGAAGGAAAACAGTTTCCTACACTCATGTAGTTTATTTTGAGAGAGAATATTTTCTTCTTTACGTTTGTAATGTGTCCCTGGAGAGATAATGACAATCTGTTTAGAATTTTTCTTTTTATTCTTGAAATTGTTACCCTTTTTATAAATATGGAAATCTTTCAGTTAAAGTACTTTTATGATCGCACATTTCGTTCTAATAATTGTAAGGAAATAATTAATAATGGGGAGAAAATGGGAGAAGCAAGTTTCTGCCATTTATCTCTAATTTGTTTTATAATAAAGATGACCTGTTTCTTTTCTTTTTAGTGCTCTAAAATTGTTTACTTTTCCCTCAAAGAGAATTAATAAATCATAGTTTTGTGAAATAAAAGTATTACCTGATTTGTAAACTATTAACTGAGATTTATAATTAAATTACATTGTATCAGTGGCTTTGATGACAATTATTTGAGATGTTTATTTTTATTTATACTCTTAGTTTCCAACGTTTCTGCAATGTGCATATTGCTTTAGTAAAAAAGGAAATGCATGCTATTAAGTTTAAAAATAAACTAAGTACATTAAAACTGGATAATGATCTTGGCACTTAAAAAGAAAATTATTGTGTATTGAAACTGAAGTGGTATTTACAAATAAATCAGCCTTGTAAAGTTATTTTAAAATTCCATATGACATTTTCCCAAGAGATTTCCTTGACTTACAGGTAGTATGATCACATCTCTGGAAGGTCTGGGTACTGATAATGTTTTTAGCTTACATGAAGATAACCATTACCGGATAAGCAAGAGCCTGGTAAAATCTGCGGAAGGAAGTACTGTACCCCTGACCAGGGTAAAGTGTCTGGTCTCTATGACAACCCCACATGACATCAGACTTCATGGGTCATCAGTTACTCCAGCTTTTGTTGAATTTGACACATCGCTTGAAGGGTTTGGGTAAGAAATTTGCAAGGAAGCCAAGCTTTATTATTTTATGCCTCATACTTGCCTTTACAAATGGATCTTTGGTTTTAAATATACTTAATTAAAATATATTTTACCATACTTAATATTTTTTAATTATTGAGTTTTTTGAGCATGATATTTTAAGATTACTACATTTAATTATTTTTGTTTGTTATACTAAATAAATTGATATGACATAGGAACCCAAAATCTTAGGCCCATGGACCAAATCTGTTTTGTTAGTAAAGCTTTTGCAAATTTTTTTTTTTTTTTTTGTAAATGAAGTTTTATTGGAACACAGCCACAGTCATTTATATTTCCTATGGTTGCTTTTGTGCTAGAGTGTCAGAGTTGAGTAGTCATGATGGAGACGGCCTGGTTCACAAAGCATAAAATATTTATGATTTGGACCTTTCCAGAAAAAGTCTGCCAACATCTGATGTAATAAATATAAATGTATAGATAATATATAAATTAAAATTAAATTGAAAAGTCTTTGGGTTTTATCATCATCTATCCTTCAAATTACCTAGCATCATAATTTATACATTATAAGTATTCAAGGACTGTCACTTCAAATGAGTAAATTATTTCAAGTGGCAGCAAAGATTATAGTAGCAGAAATGGCAATAATGAATCTATAAAGAATCTAAAAGAGTTCATGAAGTCCAACAGCCTTAAAATAGACGCAAATGCTAATATATCTAATAGCTAGATCTGTTAGCTATTAGAGTTTTTTTTTTCTTTTTTTTTTTCCTTTTGAGACAGAGTCTTGCCCTGTCGCCCAGGCTGGAGTGCAATGGCGCGATCTTGGCTCACTGCAACCTCCATCTCCCAGGTTCACACTCTTCTCCTGCCTCAGCCTCCCAAGTAGCTGGGATTACAGGCGCACGCCACCATGTCCAGCTAATTTTTCTATTTTTAGTAGAGATGAGGTTTCGCCATAGTGGCCAGGCTGGTCTCGAACTCCCAACCTCCAGTGATCTGCCCACTTCAGCCTCCCAACATGCTGGGATTATAGGCGTGAGCCACTATGCCCAGCCTTAGAGTGTTAATTCACAATTTTTGTCTATACTAGTTGTTTGTGGGATTCTTATATGGATTGAAACCTCTGTGTTTTAAGAATATTATCATAGGTCATTATCAAACCATAGATTAAAACATGGTTGGGAATAGTCAAAAGCAATCAGTGGTAACAAGAGTGACAGAAAGGGGCACGTGGGAGTTTTCCTTCAGTGATGAAATTGTTCTAATGTCTTGATTGGGTTTATACATTAGAGTATATTGCCATATGCATTTTGTATCTTAATTTTTTTTAATTTAAATTAAAAATGTTATTTTGGGAGATTTTAAAATTATGTCTTTTGATACCCTTACATGATTAAAAGAAGGGAAGGGCTTTGCAAGGCATCCAGATTTATTCCATGATATTTTCTCTAATCAACATTAAATACTGGCAGTTATTTCACTGTGGTAAGTGCACAGTGTTAAGAGAAGGAGTCATTGATCTCTAATATGTATGTTGTCTTTTCTTTAATAGCTGTCTGTTTCTGCCCAGTTTGGCCCCTCATAATGCTCCTACAACTAATACCGTCACGACAGGTCTTATTGATGGAGCTGTGGTCAGTGGCATTGGTTCTGGTAAGTAATATTTTCTTTCTGCTTATGATAATTTTTTTCCAGTACATTATATTTAATTTAGAGTTTACATGCTTTTGTTGGCATCTTTTTAAAAATATAAATATTAATCCACACAAACTTTTTTTTTAAATTTTTACTGTAGGTGAAAGATTCTTTCCTCCTCCCTCTGGCTTAAGTTACTCTAGCTGGTTTTGTATTGAACATTTTAGTTCTCCTCCAAATAACCACCCTGTCAGACTTCTTACTGTTGTACGCCGAGCAAATTCTTCCGAGCAGCATTACGTGTGCCTTGCCATAGTTCTATCAGCAAAAGACCGATCTCTGATTGTTTCCACCAAAGAGGAACTCCTCCAAAATTATGGTCAGTATTTGTTTTTTCTGTTTTCTTCTTTTGATTATAAAAGTATTAAAACTTCATTTTTGTATTTATTTTAAAAGTCCAACTAATAATGACTTTTCAGCTTAAATTATTGTAGCATAGAACAAGTTATATGAAACATTGAATATTGCTTACCAGTGAATTTTAAGGCACTTTCAAAAGAGACTTACAAAACAGTGGAGGGAGTGAGTACCTAATAAGGACTTATCTCTACTTGCCAAGAAATCACAGCTTTTCATAGGAAAGCAGGTTGCTTGTTTGATGTATTTTGGTAAGGATTATCATTGGCTGTGAATTCTGCTTAACTAATTAATATTCATTGAGCACCTGCCTGCCATATGTGCCACACTGTGCTAGACACAATAACATTTCAATTACCTTATCCGTCACTTACCTTCAAGATGTAATGCATACTATATACTATTTTATAACTCGAATTCCCTAGTTTTCTCCAACATGCCATGACTTTACAGTGCTGTACAGTAGATCTCCAAACTCAAAGTATTTTGTATAAATGTGATTTTTTAAATTTTGTTCTTTTAACTAAGTAAAATAATATCACATATTGACATGTGGTTGGTATTCAATACATATTAATTTAATATGAATGTTAGTCTTTAAAGATTGTAAGGTTTCTTGACTTAGTATTCCTCATGATACCTAGCACAGAACTAGCCATCAATATAGTTAGTACTTTAAAATTCTTGTTATGATGCTTTATTTGTCCCTTAGTAGCATTTGGTCCCGTTGACTAATTCGTCCTAATTAAAATTACCTCCAATCTTGTGTTCTAGAATACTCACTATTTCTCTGATCTTTGTTTTGCAATTTCCTTCCATCTTGAGCTTTCTCTTCTATCTGCCCCTCAGAAGTAGTGTTCTCCAGTGTTTCACCTTTCATCTTTATACTTGACCAGCTCTTCATGGGAAAAAAAATCATGAACTAGTATTGCTTTAAGTCTTTTTATCTCAAGGACTGTGAAGTCAAGGTTTTTTTTTTTCATTTGTCTATGTCCCAAGCTAGGTCCTCATATTTCCAACTGCATATTAAACACCTCCACATGAACAGTATTCCAGTAAACATCTCAGATTCTAATATTCCTTCTTTATAAAACCTACATCTCCTTTAGGAGGCTGACGTGGTAGGATTGGTGAAGCCCATGAGTTTGAGGCTGTAGTGAGCTGTGAAGGTGCCACGGCACTCAGCCTAGGAGAGACATCCCGTTTCAAATAAAAACAAAAAACCTACATCTCCTTATATTTTCCTGTGTTGATAAATGGCACAACCACTGCCAGTTAGCCCAGCTAGAAACCTTGAGTCAACTTGAAAATACCACCCCTTCCACTAAGTCTTACTGTAATACTCCTCCCTAATATTTCTCAAATCTTCCCTTCCTCCCTGTGCCTACTTCCATAGCACTTGTTTAATAGTCTTCATCTCTTATCTAGACTTCATAGATTTTAATTTTTAATTTGTTTTTGTCTGCTTATGCTATTTGAACCTCCCACAAACAAAATTATTAATCTTTGTAATCTAGGCTGCCCTAACACAGTACCTAGAATGTATTAGGCATACAGATATTATGTAAACATATAAATACATGAATAGAGGAAATGAACGGCCTGAGAAGGAAACAATGAGAAAAGTGAATAATAATGGGGAACTCGAAGACACCCTAGAATTTAATGGAAAAGTTAAAGAGTGGATCTGGAGATAAATCTATAAACTAGGAAAATATTTTCTAACTCTTATCTCATTTTTATTACTAAACGTAATTTGCCAGGTTGCTGTAGTCCATATATGATTAGAAATGACGGTAACATATGTGTTAGTATTGCCAGAATTCATTCTCTCAACAGCTATAACCCATTACGATGCCTAGGAAATTAAGAGTTGTCATAAGCCAGTTGGCTCACTGAGATATCCTGACATACCACTCAGTGCTGGAAATGTCTTAGTTCAAACCTAAGTCAGAAAGTGAAACTCTCACAAATGTTTATAAGGAATATCTTCTTCGATACTTGAGAAGACTTATAGTCTACGAACCAGGGAAGGAAGAGGGACGAGTTCCTTGTTTCACCCATATGTTCATATTTACTTTCACCTCCATTGGACTATAACACTACACCTTTCAAGGCTTTAGGACTCTGCTTTCTGCCTAGTTTATTCAGTTCCTATATCAAGTAACCTCATGGATAAGATTTTTGTCTGTGTAATAGTCTTATCAACAGACATATATTCTGAATTCCCATTCTAAAATATAATCTAGGTATTTAAGTATGTGCAGATATTTTAATATTCCAAAAATAGAAATCAATATTTTATTTGCATTTTCTTCTTCATGTCACATAAATTTTACTTTCAGTATGTTTACTTGTTTGTACATGCAGTGAAAAATACCAGATCTGCTTTAAATTATATGGTTACAGGTTAGCCCTTTTCTTAATTTTCTTTTTAAGTGAGTATTTAAAATCTGGTTTTCTACTGCTGTCTTGCCACTTGTTAAGTACTGATAAAAGGTAAACTAATTTTTATTTAGCTTAACATTAAAATTAAATTAATATGAAATCATTATTTCTTAGCATGGTCTGGTAACATATAGGGTAACAAAGAGGAGCCAGATTGGAGTCAGGAAGTAATCGTAGAATGATAGCAAATCAGAATATGTTTATATACATGAGACAAGGTTGTCTGATAAAGCAGGAAACTTGAATCAACAAATACCTAGTCTATGCTGTAAATCATCTCTTTCTTACTACCTTTTATTATGGACAGTATGGCCACTAACTAATAATAGATAGTTGTCATCTTGTATCATTGAGCATAGCATATAGCAAGAATAAACTTTACATTTTTCTTGGTTCTTTTTCTAACCCATACTGTAACCAAATCAATGTCAAAAAGTTACAGTGCATTATTGTTGACTGTAGTTACAGTGTTGTAGAGCAAATCTCAAGCTTTTTTTCTCTTGCTTCACTGAAACTTAGCACCATTTGATTAGTAACTTCCCATTTGCCCCCCCCCTCAGGCCCTTGGCAACCAACATTTCGTTCATTGTTTCTCTGAATTTGGCTATTTTAAATACCTCATATAAGTGGAGTCATGCAATATATGTCTTTCTATGACTGGCTGTTTCATTTAGCATAATGTCCTTAAGCTTCATGTATGTTGTCAGATACTGCAGAATTTTCTTCTTTAAGGCTAATTGTTATTCCATTGTATGCATATACCGCATTTTCTTTATCTACTCATCTGTCCAGGAGAGTACTGATAACTCTCTGAAGTCCTGATTTCAGTGATTTAGATAAGTACCCAGATATGGTATTGCTGGATTATATGTTAGTTCTATTTTCAGTGTTTTGAGGAACCTCCGTACTGTTTTCCATAGCAGCTGCAGCATTTTACATTCCCACCAACAGTGCACAAGGCTTCCAATTTCTCCACATTCTTGCCAACACTTGTGTTTTGTTTTTTTTGATAATAGCCATTCTGACATGTGTGAGGTGATATGCCATTGTGCTTATGATTTGGATTTCCCTGATGATTAGTAACATTGAGCATTTTTCATATACCTGTCTGCCATTTATATGCCTTCTTTGTAGAAATGTCTGTTCAAGTTCTTAGCTCAGTTTTAATTGATTATTAGTTTCTTTACTATTGAGTTCTAGTAATTTCTTAGGTATTTTTGACATTAATCTCTTATGAAATACATAGTTAGCAAATGTTTTTCTCCCATTCCATAGATTGCCTTATCACTCTGGTGTTTCCTTTGCTATTCAAAAGCTTTTCAGTTTGAGATAGTCCCACTTGTTTATTTTTGTTTTGGGTGTCAACTAGTCTCTTTTTAGTGTTTGTCATAATGTTATTGTCTCTTTATTCTTAGGTATTATTTACTTCGTTAGCTAACTTTTGTTCATTGTAACTTTGATTATACCTATATTTCCTGAGCAGAAGAGAGCAAAAATACATTCTAGGTTTCACGTCTTACTGCTGGTAAGGGTACTGCATGAATAGGGCATCTTCTGTTTGCATTATCTCTTTATTTTTATTTACTTTTTTTTTTGAGATGGAGTTTCGCTCTGTCACCCAGGCTGGAGTACAGTGGTGCAATCTCAGCTCACTGCAACCTCTGCCTCCGAGGTTCAAGCGTTTCTCCTGGCTCAGTCTCCCGAGGGACTACAGATGTACACCACCATGCCTGGCTAATTTTTGTATTTTTAGTAGAGACGGGGTTTCACCATGTTGGCCAGGCTGGTCTCAAACTCCTGACCTCAGGTGATCCGCCCACCTCAGCTTCCCAAAGTGCTGACATTACAGGCGTGAGCTACTGCACCCAACCCGCATTATCATTTTTTTTCCAGAATTGTATTATTACTCAAATCAGTCTGCATCATTATTTTGTTTTAACATAAAGTCAAAACATGCTGATCTAGATATGAATAATTTGAATAGGGATGGTGTTGGAAAAAGTTTTTTATGTCTTCCCCCCTTTATTTCAGTTGATGATTTTAGTGAAGAGTCCTCATTTTATGAAATTCTCCCATGCTGTGCTCGCTTTCGATGTGGAGAGCTTATCATTGAGGGACAGTGGCATCATTTGGTCCTGGTAATGAGCAAAGGCATGTTGAAAAACAGTACTGCAGCCCTCTATATTGATGGACAGCTTGTTAACACTGTAAAGGTAAGAGTATGTGCACTTGTAAATCTACCTGCTTTATAAGGTAGTAGTTTGGGGTGGGTGTGGGTGGGGTGGGTGTGTATTACAGTGATATTTGTATAATTACTTTCTTAATTTTAAGTTGATATTCAGTACCCATTTGAATAATATGTTAGACTCATGTAACCAATTCTTACCATTTTATTAGAGAAGAATAGAAATGAGGGCTTATAGGTACTAAAGAAGTTGCTGAATATGCAAGAGCTTAAGCCAGTTTGCTAGGTGCTTTTTCATAATAGAGGAACCAGTTGAAGGATTCCTAAATAACGGTGAACACACTATTTTGTCACTTCATTGCTGTTGCTGTAATTTCATCCAGAAGACTTATATTCTTTAAAGCTAGAATTGCTTTTTTTTCTTTGTTTTCAGATCACCCAGATTAGTCCCCGATAATGATAGTAGGTATTCAGTTTATTGTTTCTTGAATGAATGACTACATAAACATTACTGTAGATTGTGATACTATTTAGAAGAGAAAAAAAGAGAGTTGATTATTGAGTAAAGAAACAGGTGAAACTCCCTTTTTCTGAATGAGAATAAATACTGCTTGTTACTTTGTACAGAACTCAGCTCGCAAACTCTGAAAATTCTTGACCTTCTAAAAGTTAGTATCTTTTTTTTTTTTTTTAAGACGGCGTCTCACTCTGTCGCCCAGGCTGGAGTGCAGTGGCATGATCTCAGCCCACCGCAACCTCCACCTCCTGGGTTTGAGCAATTCTCCTGCCTCAGCCTCCCAAGTAGCTGGGACTACAGGTGCGTGCCATGACACCTGGCTAATTTTTGTATTTTTAGTAGAGATGGGGTTTCACCATGTTGGCCAGGCTGGTCTTGAACTCCTGACCTCAGGTGATCCTCCCACCTCAGCCTCCCAAAATGCTGGGATTATAGGCAGGTATCCATTTTAGAGCGATCATTTGAAAGAAAAAAAGATAAAGTTTGTCCTTGTGTGTGAATTAAAGTTTAAAAAACACTGAAACCAGCAGCATCTTTGAATTTATTTCCTTCCTTGATGATGATGATATTTTATTGTGGCATTGTGTTTCAGTATGATAAACCCTAAAATGCACCTTGTGGAATAGTCATTGATTTATTTGTATACATGATTACATTTGAAATGAGTTTGTAGATTCTCTAGTACATTGCTACTTCATTAATTTTAGTATCATTAAAAATAAAAATGGCCTCAGCTTGTAGAGTTGAGCAGTAGGAAATTTATTATTGATTTATTTACATCATCGTCATCACTGTCCCTGTCAATAGTCACAGTAGTGTGAAATCAACTGTAGCTCACATGTTGGTCTTCACAATTGTGCTATTAACATCACCAAGAACTGCTGTTTAATATACAGAATAATGAATAGGATCTGAAGCTGAGATGGTATTATGACACAACAATTAATGGAAATGTCCTTCACCCCATTAAGCTGCTTCAGCAAGAAAAAGCAACTTAAGTTCTTTATCTCTTATACTGTACTTAATTATGTGTTCATTATAATAATTTATCTCTATAAAACAATTTTCATCAGTAATTTTAGTTAACGGACTCACATTGAAGGTAACATACCTAATTTCAAGACTACTTTAATTCTATAGTGGAAAGCTCTCTTTATATCAGCACAAAAATTTCAGAGAAGCATCATTAACTTGATATGCAAACCAGCCATTGACAGTATCCCTAAAACTACTTGTTGCCATTTCTAGCATTAAAGAGTTTATCTGTGTTAGAGAGTTGGATAAAAATTTTAGCTACTATACCTGGTCCTCAGTTACAGATCCCAGTATCATGCCTTGCCCTTCCTGTTTCTCAACCCCAAATGTTTTTGTGCATTTGTAAAGTTGTGTTACCTTGAGATAATTAAAATATATATGTCAAAGTAGTTATTTTCCTGGGGAAAGTGTTCACATCTCACACATTTGCTTTTGTCTTCCTTACAGCTTCATTATGTTCACAGTACTCCAGGGGGTTCAGGTTCAGCGAATCCACCAGTGGTGAGCACGGTCTATGCCTACATTGGTACTCCACCTGCCCAACGCCAAATTGCTTCCTTGGTTTGGCGCCTGGGACCCACACATTTTCTAGAAGAAGTTTTGCCTTCTTCAAATGTTACTACCATTTATGAACTTGGACCAAATTACGTTGGAAGCTTTCAGGCTGTATGTATGCCATGTGAGTAACTTATTTTTAGTTCCTGAAGTTGTGTGAAATTTAACTCCTGCAATATAGATGCATGTGTGTGTATGAGGTTATACATATTGTTTATCTAGGAAAAGCACCTTCTCTTTCTCTAATCTTCTTCAGCAGGATACTCACTCCTCTTTAAAATATTTTCCTCCACTGATCATACTGCACTTTCTGGATTCTTTGTCTTTATGCCTGATGGTTTATTATCCAGTTTCTCTTACTGGCTCCGAGATATAGGTATATGCCCTCTAGGAGTCTAACTGTGTGACACTCTTCTCTTTTTGTGATTTCTCCTATTACATGAAGCAGTTTAAAGTATAGCCACTCCTGTTAAAGGAAGAACAGATAGGTTCAATAAACACACACATACATTCTCTAGATTAGGTCACTTAACATTATTTTTTCTCACTTCTTTACTCCAAGCCTACTTTTTGTTATCCTTTCTCCCAAATGAAATATAGACTCAGAGGAACTGATGTTAAGCTGGCAATTCCTTGCTAGTACTTCTTGCAAATGATGTCTTCCACTCCCTTGTTCTGATTCCACCAAGAATCTCAGAAGAATTAGGACAAGTATATTGTAAATGGTCATAATCCTGTCATTTAGTAATTTATCTTTTCACTCATTCTTAATTAAATGGTATCTAATAAAAGCTAACACTTCTTGGTCTCTTACTGTGTGCTAAATAAGTCAATACAAATGAAGGATGTAGCTGTTCTGAGCCCTTCACATGTATATATTCATATCGAAACACCGTGAATTAGGTACTGTCAATATTCCCATTTCACAGAAGAGGAAAATGAGGCACAAAGACATATAAGTCGCACAGCTTTTAAGTGATAAAGCAAGATTCAAACTCAGGCCATGTGGCTTTAAAACACGTGGCTTTATTAATAACTCTTCTGCTTTGTTGTCTTGGAGAATACAGGCAGGCATATCTGAGTGCTTTTTTGGGGGAGGGGACATAGTGCTACATGGCTGATAGGCATTTTATTCATCTCCATCCTTTTTCCTTTGAATCCAGGGGGACATGTTTTACAATTCGTCAGATAACAGTTAAAACTTTTCTTCCTTTACATTGTGCTATATTTTAAACATGTTTTAAGAGTAGCACTTAAAATGTAGAACTCTATGGCTAGATTTCTTTTTCCGTTTTTTAATTAAAGAAATAAATGAAGAGCTGAGAAGTAAAATAGTTTTTAAATTTACCTCTCTTATTCTACTTTAAGACTTTCAAGCCTCCTCATTTAAAAATGATAGTAAGAATAAAAAAACTTATTTTAAGATGAGAACTACTGATGATTTTGAAAAGAATTATTCTTCTTTTGAAGGTAAAGATGCAAAATCCGAAGGGGTAGTGCCATCCCCTGTGTCATTAGTACCAGAGGAGAAGGTGTCGTTTGGCCTCTATGCACTCTCTGTGTCTTCTCTAACAGTGGCAAGAATCCGGAAAGTGTATAACAAATTGGATAGCAAAGCCATTGCTAAGCAGGTAGGCAGGATGATTTCTTGGTGTACTATGGCTGATTCTCACTGGGAATGTATCTCAGAGTCTCATATGGATACTACTCAATTATGAGTGATTGCTAAAAATCATGCCTTTCATGTGTTGTTTATGTTTGGTTAATTTGACTTCAAATGCAGGCCAAAACACATGTAGATATGTAACTTAATTTGGAAAAGTGACAGTTTCTGTTATGAGTACATAATTCATATTAATTTTTTTATTTATATTGAGAAATTTAACTTTAGAAAACTAATGAAAACAATTACTGTTTTTAAGGCTACAACTCAACTTTTTAATGAATGACCTATTATGTGCCAGGTGACATTCAGTTCAGGACATAGCAATGGATAAAAAGAAAATTTCTGCTCTTATGTTTCCTGCATTCTAGTGGAAGAGACAGATGATAATACCTAAAGAAATAACCTAATCGTAAAGTATGTTAGAAGGTGATGGGTGCTATGCAGTAAAATAAAGCAGGGAAGGGGAAAGAGAGAAGTTTCAAGTTTTAAATATGGTAGTCCAAGGAGACTTTACTGAGAAGGTGAATTTTGAGCAAAGACTTGACAGGGATGAGGTACAAGCCATAGGAATAGGCAGCATGGGATATACCTATGGGTGTGGGAGTGTTTTGTATTCCAGGAATCCAAGTGCAAAGGCCCTGAGAAAAGTACTAATGCTTGCTTGCCATGGAGACATGTGGCTGGAATAAAATTAGAGAGGGCCCAGGCAGTAGGAGAGGAGCCCAGAGTGGTGATGGGTCCCAGGTTGTTTAGGATTCATGGGGCAATTGTAAAGACATTGGCTTTGATGGAGAAAGATGGGAGGCATTATAGAGTTTCAGACATAGGAGGGAAATGCTGTAACTTACATTTTATCACTATGACTTCTGTTGAGAATAGACTGAAGAGAAACAAAGGTGGTAGTAGGGAGACAAGTTATGAGGCCGATAAATAATTCCTATGAGAGATGATGGTGGTTTTAACTTGGGCAATAGCAGTGGTGGTGATAAGAAGTGATCAGATTCAAGGTGTATATATATATACACACACACACACACACACACACACACACACACACACACCTTGTATATGTGTATTTTATATATATACACTTTTTTTTTTGAGACGGAGTTTCGTTCTTGTCACCCAGGCTAGAGTGCAATGGTGTCATCTCAGCTCACTGCAACCTCCGTCTCCCGGGTTCAAGTGATTCTCCTGTCTCAGCCTCCTGAGTAGCTGGGATTATAGGCATGCCACACCCAGCTGATTTTTGTATTTTTATTAGAGACAGGGTTTCACCATGTTGGCCAGGCTGGTCTCGAACTCCTAACTTCAGGTGATCCACCTGCCTCAGCCTCGCAGAGTGCTGGGATTACAGGTGTGAGCCACCCCACAAGGCTCAAGGTATATTTTAAAAGTAGACCTAGCAGTTTTGGGTGATAGAATGTGGAATGAGTGTGAAAGGTGAGAGAGTTAAGGAGTCCAGGTTTTTTGCTTGAACAGCTGGGAAAATGGAGTCAAATTTTATGATTTGGTGAAAACTACAAAAAGAGTAGAGTTGGGAGGAATATTAAGAATTCTGTTTTAGAAGTTTGAGAAGTGTATTCGACATCACAGTAGAGATTTCAAGGCCATTGAAAATATGAATCTGGAGTACATTTATACAGGTGGTGTTTAAAGCCATGAGTCTACATGTATTCACCAAAGCATAGACGTAGATAGGGAAATGGAAAGTTTTAAAGACTGAAACCTGGGACGTTCCAGTGTTACGGAGTTGGGGACATCAAGAAGAACCAGAAAAGACTGAGAAGTAGCAATCAGTGAGAAGGGAGAAAAACCAGGAGGGCCTAATGTTGTAAGATCAAGGATTCATTGTGGAAATGTCTTAAGTGGCCACAGTAAGATGAGAAGTGAGGAGTGACTATGAGTCAGTAAGTGTGACAAGCCATTTTGGCTGATTACCGAAGGCAAAGTCCAAGGGGAAGGAAATCAAGAGACCAGGACAGGAACTGTAAGTATTGACAGCTCTTACAGAGAGCTTCGGGGTGTGTGTGTGTGTGTGTGTATACATATATACATATGTTGGCACATATACGTATCTAAGGAACATAAACTGTACATAACTCTATAGTGAACAACAGAATTAAAGTTATATTTGACTTGAAAATAGGTCTTGTGTTATGTGTGAATGTATTAAAATGTAAGATTCCTTTATGTAGGCAATTTTATCTATAAACTCTTGGATAACTTACGTTTACTTGGATATGGAATAAAGCTCATATGTTCACTGATCTGAAATACTGTGAGGCAGTTAGTGATAACAACCTTTAAACTACCAAAGAACTTCATTCAGAAAGACCCCTGAAGCTGTGTCTCAAAATCCTCTCGCCATCTTTATCTCAGTAAATTGTGTTTAACTTAACTCCTATGAGTTTCCACACTTTGGAAGCGTTTGTACATTTCCAAAAATAAACTCACGCAGACTGGAGTGTGGAGTGCCAGTGGCACGATCTCCGTTGACTGCATCCTTGACCTCCCAGGCTCAAGTGTTTCTCCTACCTCTGCCTCCTGAGTAATGCACCACCAGGCCTGGCTAATTTTTTGCATTTTAGTAGAGATGGGGGTCTCACCATGTTGCCCAGGCTGGTCTCAAACTCCTGGACTCGAGCAATTCCCTTGCCTCTATCTTACAAAGTGCTAGGATTATAGGGATGAGCCATCAGGCTGGACCTAAATGCCGTTTTTCGGTATTCTGATAAGGGAGGAAAGAAAAGATATGTTACCATTCGTGTGTTTGGTTTTTTTCCAATCAAAACATTGAAACTGTTCTTATATAATTACATTATTTTCCTTTCCTATTTTTCAGTTAGGCATTTCCTCACATGAGAATGCCACTCCTGTGAAGTTGATACACAATTCAGCAGGACATCTTAATGGATCTGCACGGACAGTTGGGGCCGCTCTGATTGGATACTTGGGTGAGTGGACTTGTCTTTGTTTTTTCAGACTTCTTTGTTTGCCATCAAGTTTGCATTCACTTTCCTCACTTGAGGGGCAGTATTTAATTTCATATTGTATAGCACTGACCTATAGTGTACGTGCAGTATTCAGAGATTAAATATAACAATCTCAAATTCCGGTCAACTTAAAATTAATAACCTTTCATAAAATCCCACTAACTTTTACATATCCACCATGGAATACTGTACAGCCATAAAAAAGAATGAGATTATGTCCTGTGCAGGGACATGGATGAAGCTGGAAATCATCATCCTCGGCAAACTAACACAAGAACAGAAAACCAAATGTCGCATATTCTCACTCATAGGTGGGAGCTGAACAGTGAGAACACATGGACACAGGGAGGGGAACATCACATACCAGGACCTGTCAGGGGAAGTGGGTCAAAGGGAGGGAGAGCATCAGTACAAATACCTAACGCATGTGAGGCTTAATACCTAGGTGACAGGTTGATAGGCGCAGCAAACCACCATGGCACATGTTTACCTATGTAGCAAACCTGCACGTTCTGTGCATGTATCCCAGAACTTAAAGTTAAAAAAAAAAAAAAAAAAATCCCACTGTTTCCCTCTTGTCAGTGATGATCAGCACTGACTATATAATTTCATGTAATTTTTAGGTAAATTTCAAATTACATTTAGCAACAGGTATCAAAATTCAGAACTATTACTGATTGTTTCATGATTTGGTATATAGCTCATGAGTTTTGTTAATTTAGGAATGAGCTAGAACTAAGAGATTCTGAGATAAACACTATGACTCAAGCTATAATGAAAGTTGAGAGTAGTACAGAGCCTGTACATGTCTGCTTAAAACGTTTTTGTTTTTGTTTTTGTTTTTTGGTTAGATAGGATCTTGAGACATAAACCAATCAGGCCATTCAAAATTCAGAACCAGTGATTGTGCCTTTTAATGTGCAAATCAGTATATAATACTGGTTGCTTTTTAGATTAATAAAAAGTTAGTGTTGTGCTGGACAGAATCCAACATGTTTATCAGTCATTGGCAATTTTTATTGTCCCAGTGAATTGCATAAATCTTTGTTTTTCTTTTTTGGTAATATCGCATTGAGGAAAATTTTCTTTAAAGCACATGGTAGTGTTCTTTTATTCAAAAAATGCTTATTAAGCACTGTGGTATGTCCTTTTCAGAAGTATAGCAGACCTGTGGTATAGTGGAAAGAGCAGTGAGCAGTAAATAAAGAGTTCAGAGACTTAGGTTCCAGCTCCTGTTGTACCACTGTGTGATATTATGCCATTCAGTTATGCTCTATGAACTTCAGTTTTCTTATCTATAAACTAGTAATCCTGGCCCTAATTACCTTAGGAGCTAGTTTTCAAAATCCAGCACTGTAATATATGAAGGTATTGTGGGCTGGGCATGGTGGCTCACACCATGTAATCCCAGCACATTGGGAGGCCTAGACAGAAGGATTGTTTGAGCCCAGGAGGCTGCAGTGAGCTGTGATTGAGCCACTGCACTCCAGCCTAGGTGACAACAAGACCCTGTCTAAAAAACAAAATGGGAAAGAAGGAAAGAAAGTATTGTGAATACTGCAGAGCACATAGAAATATAATATGCATGTTAGTTTTATTTTTTAAAATCTCTATCTTGGTCAACAGGCAAGTGACATTCACATAATGCCTCTTTAAAATGTTAGGAATGTAGGTGTGATTTTTTTTAATTGACACACAGTTCCAGGACTGTGTTTCTATAAACTTACACTCTCCTAAAGTCACTGATGTACTGTTACTCAGATTACTTAACCAAGAGAAGCTTTGGGTAATGGTCAGTAATGTGCTTTGCTTGGTTTATCTATAGGAAGTACATCATCCCCGCCAGGATGGCTTCTCCAAGCTTTTCCCCAGTTCACATAGTTAAAGTGATTTTTACTGTCCCCAAGGTTATTCCCCAGCAGACTCTACTAAGGCACTCTCACTTACTCAGAAATTCATTCTCAAGACCACTGCACTTTTGAGTACAGCCCAAAGCTACACAGTAGAAACATTTGTGCTTGTTGAAAAGCCCTGCTCTTCTCTGCTCACTCCTCTACACCCAGTCTTCTCTAAAAGTATGTAGATTAGCTTTTTTCTTTTTTCTTTTATTATTATTATTATTATTATTATTATTATTATTACTTTAGATGGAGTCTCCCTCTGTTGCCCAGGCTGGAGTGCAGTGGCACGATCTCGGCTCACTGCAACCTCCAACTCCTAGGTTCAAGTGAGTCTCCTGCCTCGGCCTCCTGTGTAGCTGAGATTACAGGCACGTGCCACCACGCCCGGCTAATTTTTGTATTTTTAGTAGAGACGGGGTTTCACCATGTTGGTCAGGCTGGTCTCAAACTCCTGACCTTGTGACACACTTACCTCAGCCTCCCAAAGTGTTGGGATTACAGGTGTGAGCCACCGTGACCAGCCAGTCTTTATTGCCTTGTCCCAAATCCTACCTTTAATGCTTTCCCTAGAATTTGCATTATAGACAGAAGATATTTTTAAAATAAAACTTTACTAATTAAAGACTTTTCAAAATAATGTATACAGTTCTTGTTCACGTAGGGAATTTATCTTAATTATTTTTCACTATCTTTTAATCAGGAGTAAGAACATTTGTCCCTAAGCCTGTTGCCACTACTTTGCAGTACATTGGTGGAGCTGCAGCCATCCTGGGCCTGGTGGCCATGGCCTCTGATGTGGAAGGGTTATATGCAGCAGTCAAGGCCCTGGTTTGTGTGGTCAAGAGTAACCCACTAGCCAGCAAAGAAATGGAAAGAATCAAGGGCTACCAGGTTTGTAACTGTAAAACTTTGCCTTCATTTTACCTGGCACCTAAAGTACCCTTCTTTTTATTATCTTTCATGTTGTTTCAAACTCTGGAAGAATTATGTTGTCCAAGTAAACTTAAAGAGCCAGTAGTTTTATGAAAACTGATACATGTTCAATGAAGGTTGTATTGTTTCTTTATTTTGCTTTATCGTCTTTCTTCTATCTTATCAAATCTTACTAAACACTTGAGTTAGGCAACATTATTTCAATATAGCTTTAATACATTGAATATATTTTCAGAACAAAGGTTTGCTGGTTTGAATGTTGTTTTTCTCTGTGGAAATGGGAATGAAATGAAATGGGGTCCTATTCCCCCTTTCTCAAAAGATTGCCAAATCCATAGAAGATTCAGGGCTCTCCCTGTCTCCTTGTCTCTCCCCTCCACCTCACACCCTACCATCTTTTGTCTCTGTTACTTACTCAGGAGATGTGAAAGCCACTAGATAATAAGTGTACCATTGCTATTCCTGAAAACTAAAAATACAAAAATTAGCCAGGCGTGGTGGCATGTGCCTGTAATCCCAGCTACTCTAGAGGCTGAAGCAGGAGAATTGCTTGCACCTGGAAGGCGGAGGCTGCAGTAAGCCAAGATTGCGCCATTGCACTCCAGCCTGGGCGACAGAGCAAGACCTAAAAAAAAAAAAAAAAAAAAAGGGCAGCATTTAGGTATCCACAGTCTGTACCAGAATTAGACAAAAAATCACTTATAAGAAGAGGAACAAATATTTGAAAGAAGATTAAAACCTCTTATCATACATGAAGTACAAATGCCTTCTGCAAGTTTAGCCATTAGTTTATTGATAATGAATATACTGTTTACTGTGTTGTATAGATTTAATTATACTATTTCAATAAGTGTTTTCTTTTACAAAACTTTCAAAAGGATTATTGCAGCATTGTTTATCATGAAAAAATAGAGCAATCTACATATACCAGTAATGAGAGAATGACTAACTATACTCTAAACATTCCATAGACTATCATTCAACCTTTTAAAATTGTAATTATGAAAACTATATTGCAGAAGTTTATATACAGAAAAAAATGTATAGTTAAGTAGTTACCATCATGTGCATATAATTTTATTTTCTTACTGTGATGTTTTCATTACACATACAATTTTATGCACATGTTGGTAATTATTTACATATATATATTAGAATTGAAAGGGTAAATGTAAAAGTAGATATTTTAATAATAGTGTTAGGATCCCTTTGTTTTTCAGATTTTACCTAATGTTATATTGCCATAATAAAAATTTAGAAGGTAACTTTGAAATCTCAGAAAATCATCTACATAGGATTCTGTGCATGTGTTGGGGGGTTTGGGGTGTGTGTGTAAAGAATATACATGATGATTTATCAACAGGCATGTGGTATTACTTTCTTGTAGTTGCTGGCAATGTTGCTTAAGAAGAAACGTTCCCTTCTCAACAGCCACATCCTCCATCTAACTTTTTCTTTGGTGGGAACTGTTGATAGTGGACATGAGACCTCCATTATTCCAAATTCGACTGCTTTCCAGGACCTCCTTTGTGATTTTGAAGTATGTATATAAGCATAATAATATATAATCAATGAATGCATTTCTTAATCCGTATGATTATAAACTATTTTATCTCTAAAATGTGTTTAAAGTCCTGTAATTTTGTGACATTTATGTTAATATCATTTAGTAAAAGATAAAAAGTAGAATAATGCTGGGGTTCCTTTTCTCCAAGGATATTCCATTTTGCAAATATTTTAGAAGTGAAATGGTATGGTGCATATCCCTAACTAGCTAATTTGCTGCTGGCAGTGGCATTATGTGAGTCGAACATATTTTCATCAGGCGATTCTGATAGAAACTTTTTCTTGATAAATAGGACCTAGACCTCTAATTTTGGTTATAACTGCATGGTAAAATATCATTCATTTTATGTTCGCATTTCATAGTCTACCTTTTCTGCTTCTACTGCTATATCCTAACTCAAGCCCTAATCAATTTTTCTCCTATTCATACTAGGATAACTATCACTTCTTTTTCCCCTTTGCTCAGGCTGTCCTGCATACCCTTGGGACCTCATTCTTTCAAAGGCATTTTCATTTCTACTGGCTTATTACTGTAACAGCTTATACTCTGTTCTCTCAAGGCAGCACTTAATCACTCATAGCCTTTTTCCATTTAATTTCTTGTTTACAGCACTTTGCATGTTAGTTACTATATACTAAATTTATATAATATATCCCTTTGAAACTGCAGGATCTGTGGGCTTTATGATTGCAGAGATAGTGTTTATCTTCTTTGTCTTTGTGTTCCTACCACCCAGAATAGTGCCTAGCACTTAGTATTTGCGAACTCTTATGTCTAGGCCCTAACCGTTCTTCCTCACAACTACTGTAAGCTCTGTTTTGTCAGTTATTGAATCCCTCACAAATAGTGTGCCCTAAGTGCTTTACTGACACTGTATTTTCAAAGCTTAGTAGAAGCTTCCCTCTAAATAAAAATCTATGGTCTGTACTCAGTTTTCAGTATCCCCAACTCTCAGTAACATTGGCTGTTGTCTGTTTCCCTCATATTCTTTCAAGTTATACTTATTTTGCTAGCTTTCAGGTATTAATATCCTGGTTCTTATATCTTTCTATTTTTTTCTATTATTTTCTTGCAGTGATGTTTTCATTATTTTTTGTAAAGATGTCCATCTTTACTTTTTTACATTTTCCTGTGTTTGTTGTTTTCCTTCCTTTAAACTCCTACCTAGGTTGACAGTCTCATCTCTGTGGAGTTGATCCTCAAATCTAAATCTCTAACCTTGGCATCTGAATTCCAGACTTATTTCTAATTCTTGCTCAACACTTCCATTTTTGTGTCCCACCAGCATGTTAACTGAACTTGGCATCCCTCCTCAAATTAGTTCTTCCTTCTAACTTCTCTGTTTATGTTAATAACACCACCATTCGCCTAGTCACCAAGGCTTGAAATTGAAAACATCAGCTTCCTTCTTCTCTGTCTGTAAACAGTCTGATATTGTCATATAGGTTCTACTTTCACATTCCATAGTCTGCCTTTTCTGCTTCTACTGCTATATCTTAATTCAAGCCTTACTCAGTTCTTCTCCTATTCATACTAGGATAACTATCACTTCTTTTTTCCCTTTGCTCAGGCTGTCCTACATACCCTTGGGACCTCATTCTTTCAAAGGCATAATCTTGTCATTTATTCAAGGACTTGCACTGATTTTCCTTTTCTACACTATAAAGTACACATCTCTCAGCCTAGTATTCAAAGTTCTGATATCCAAACCTCTTACTCTTTTAGAAAGCACTTGCTGCATATTTTTGAGGCAAGCACTGTATTAGTTACGAGGGATGTGAAAAGAAAAGGCAAGGGTCCACGACTGAAGGCATTTAGTCCATTAGAAGAAAATGACAAAGAAATAGATAATTTAAAACTAGTGAAAGCCCAGAGATGGTAGACAGAAAGGATTATGGGATCACTAAGAAGACCTACCTAACCCAGCCTAACCTTGTTTTCACCTGGTAACTGACACATTTAAATCAAGGATTATCTTCAGTCTCAGATTTCTGATTAAAACTCAATATACAAACATCAGAAATTTAGTTGCTTAATAAATTTTGGCTTTATTTTATAGTACATTGCTGACTTTATGGCCTCTTATAGCATCCCTAATTACTCCAAACCGCAAGTAGTCTATAAATACCTAATTTACCAAATTTTTAAAATAGTCATTTGACAAATATAAGGAAAAGAATTGCAGTGCCATAAACAATTTTTTGTGATTGTTTTAGAATTTATTGTGTGCATCTAAAAGTTCAGTCTATCTTTAAAGAATATTATACCTTATAAATACTTTGCAATAAGAGACTTTCATTTCTCCCTTTCCATTTTTATGCTATTGTTGTATACATTTACTTCTATATATTTATAATCCCTACAATAGTTTGTATTATTTTTGCTTTAAATGATGAATTTTTTTGCTGGGCGCGGTGGCTCACGCCTGTAATCCCAGCACTTTGGGAGGCCGAGGCGGGCGGATCACAAGGTCAGGAGATCGAGACCACGGTGAAACCCCGTTTCTACTAAAAATACAAAAAATTAGCCAGGCGCAGTGGCGGGCGCCTGTAGTCCTAGCTACTCAGGAGGCTGAGGCAGGAGAATGGCGTGAACCCGGGAGGCGGAGCTTGCAGTGAGCCGAGATTGCGCCACTGCACTCCAGCCTGGGCGACAGAGCGAGACTCTGTCTCAAAAAAAAAAACAAAAAAAAATGATGAATTTTTTTCAAAAGACATTTTACAATTATTTTCTATTTGACTACATATATAGTATTTATAGCTTTTTTTTTCCATTGCGTAAATCTAAATTTCCATCTTGTGTAATTTTTCTGCCTGGAGATACTTTTTTAACATTTCTGTATTACAGAAATATTGGCAGTGAATTCCGTCATCTGGAAAAGTCTTCCATTTCTTTCTTCCTTTTTGAAGGACATTTTTGCATGGAATAGAATTCTAGTTGACTGTTTTTATTGTTTTCACACGTTAAAGATGTCATTCATTTCATTGTCCCCTTTGTCCACTTTATGTTTCTTCTGCTTGGGTTTATTGATTTGTGAGTTTGTCATTTTCATCACATTTGAATTTTTTAGCCATTATTTCGTCAATGATTTTTCCTGCCACTCCCTTCCCTTTTCTGGACACCAATTACACGTATCTTAGATTGCTTGAAACTGTCTCGAATCACTCATACACTAAATCTGGTATTTCTCTTTAGTATTTTTTTCTTATGCTTCATTCTGAATAATTTCCGTTGTTATGTTTTCAAGGTTATTAAATTGTTTTTCCGAAGTATCTCATCTGCTGTTAATGCCATCCAGTATATTTTTCATTTTAACTATTTTATTTGTCATGTCTAGAGGTTTGTTTGGGGGCTTTGGTTGTCTTTCATTTGGCTCCTTATCATGTTCATGTTTTTCATTACACTCTTTAGCATATGGAGGATATTTGTAATAGCTTTGTAAAAGTGTGATAATTTCATCATTTAGGTCATTTTTTTGGCCAATTTATATAAGTGGTTTTATAGAGCTTTGTAAAATAATAATATAAAAGTGAAATAAGTTCCATGTGCTGTATTGTTTGTTGGTTTGGCATTTGGGCATTTTTTTTAACCTTAAATATACTACTGTTTTTATTTTTTATAGGTCTGGCTCCATGCACCATATGAACTTCATCTTTCCTTATTTGAACACTTTATTGAACTACTCACAGAGTCCAGGTATTAATTAATACTCATGTAGTTAGTTATTCAGCTATAGAAAAGGGGATAGTACAGTGTATACAATCTTCTTTCTCTTATAGTGAAGCTTCAAAGAATGCCAAATTAATGAGAGAATTCCAGTTAATCCCAAAGCTGCTCCTGACTCTTCGAGACATGTCTTTATCCCAGCCTACTATTGCTGCTATTAGTAATGTGCTGAGCTTCTTACTGCAAGGTTTTCCCAACAGCAATGATCTGCTCAGGTAGGAAATCTTCTTTGTCTTTGTCTTTTTATTAACTAAAAGTACCAATCAGGTTAAGAGGGGTGAGATGAATGTAGTTGGTTTTTATGACTGTGTAATAACACCTGTAATGTTAATACTATTCAAAATATGTATGACGCATGGAAAACATGAGTGAGACAATGTCTTGCTTTGATGGAGCAAAGCTAATTGTTGCCACTAGTGAATAATAGAATATTGGTGAGAAAAGATATAGGAATTAGCCCAGTGAAATTGGCCTGGATATAATGTATTCAGTCCAGGAATTCTTGGTTCCCAATCCTATTTCCCAAGCCCTGCTAATTTTTAAGTGTATGTGCACAAGCATACATACACACTCCAAAATAGTGGGTGTGCCACCTCTATTTTTTATTCTCTTTCATTCAAACAGATTATGGTATTTTAAATCTGTTGCATATCCACACTTTTTAATATGATATAAGTATTATTTTGCAGACAATGCAAAATGTGGTTTAAGGCATATTGATGGCATGTCTGTAGAAGTGTTCTTATGTTCACATGATAATCCCCATTTTGGAAAATTTGGGGATTATAGAAAGAAAACAAGAAAAACAAACTGCACAATTGAATATTTTTCAAGTAGAGAATTGCTTAAACTGGACTTGGTCACTACTGTTCATGTGATCTACCAAGTATCTCAGGTAAAATCACACTCATTTATTCAGTTATTCTCATAGACTAACCTCTAATCTGTATAGTTTGTAAATCACTCACTTTTGTGTTAATTTGCCTTCAAAACATATTTTTAAACCTGGTGGGGCAGGCGTGGTGGCTCATGCCTATAATCCCAGCACTTTGGGAGGCCGAGGTTTGCGGATCATGAGGTCAGAAGTTCAAGACCATCCTGAACAACATGGTGAAACCCCATCTCTACTAAAAATATGAACAATTAGCCAGGCGTGGTGGTGGGCACCTGTAATCCCAGCTACTCGGGAGGCTGAGGTAGGAGAATCACTTGAACCCGAGAGGCGGAGGTTGCAGTGAGCCAAGATGGCGCCACTGCACTCTAGCCTGGGCGACAAGAGTGAGACTCCATCTCAAACAAACAAACAAAAAAACCTGGTGGCAGATTTAAAACTTCAGCTTAAGAATTATTTTGGAGAATTATAATTATCATTATGTCAAGAATGTATTCCTAGCATTGTAATGGTCACTTTGCTGAAATTATTACCTAAACCTGTAAAAGTTTTTGTTTTTTTTTCCTACTTTATAAATGAAGAAACAAAGCCCACATAATTAGAGTGTGATACAGCCAGGGTGTTTTTTCTTCTCCTGTTCCCCCTACTCCAGGAATTTGATCATATATGTAAACCCAAGTTCTTAACCACTAGGCTACAGTGGATCCATCCAGTTAATGTTAGGACATTCGAATATGGATCATGCTGTTTGGTTTTTGAAACCATTTGCACGTTAGTGCATTAAAGAATTCATATTTTGAAGAACTGTATTTTCCCCATATTTTAAAAGCATTATTTTATGTAATGTTACTTGGGATGGTCCAAGAGGAAGCAAACTAAATATTATCACCTAATGGTCCTTAAAAGGCTAGTTAAGATAAGAAGTCCTATTTTGGCTTTATTTCTTTGTATTTTGTTTCTTTGTACTTTGTTGTTTTGGGAAGAGGAAAAAGAAAATCCATAATCTTGTTTTCCTTTGTTTAAAGATTTGGCCAGTTTATTTCTTCTACTTTGCCAACCTTTGCAGTTTGTGAGAAATTTGTAGTAATGGAAATAAATAATGAAGAGAAGCTTGACACTGGTAAGTTGATTCTGGAGTTTGGAGAAGATAGTGGTCAACTAAATATTATGTCTTTTTTTCTTCTGGCCCAAATTAGACCTGAATTATATGTGATTATATATAATATATGTATAACTTTTCTCATTACGTTATATTTTTTGGCCTTTCTCTGATGTATTTGTCTTATATCAAGCCTATACAATATGCAGTATTACAGTATTACCTACAAAATTTAATAGGGTGTGAATTTCACTTTAAAAATAAAATGTTTCCTATTTTTAGAGTATTCATAGCAATGTTTCTTTAAATAGCAAATTCTTCCTGTGTAATTTGAACATTGTTTGATTTTTTTACTGTGTGTATATCTCTTCAGAAACATGATACTTGTTAAACTAAATTATATCCATATATCTATATTACTGTTATTTTCACTTCCCTGTTAAATATTTAGTAGTCACTGAGAAAAAAACATTTTACTAGAATCATTTTATGTAAGTATAATATAAAAATAATTTCATAAGTTGTAAGTTACTGGGTCCATGACAAGCACGTATTTTGGAAACCTTTCCTCATTTAGTATATATATATTCCCCACTCTGTTCCCATATGTTTTTCCTGTTGTATGTGCTAGGACAGGAGAGTTGCTTGGAATGCATTGAAAGGACCTTTTTTTAGGTTGACCTCTGGAATTAAATTCTCAGAATCTTATATTTGTTCAGCCTTATTTACATTATTACCCTGTTACATTATTCCCAAATCATATCATATAGATTATTTCATTTAAATCCATACCACCCTATCCACCTGGAGGGTAGAGAGGAACTGTTGTTGTATCACTTCCTCCCAAAGGGGTTCTCCATGTTGTCTGTCCTTCCCGAGCACAGCCTCTCCTGTGCTTCATGAGTAAGAGAAAGTGGTGTGATTACAGTTTTCAAAGGAGAGATGGAGAGATTTGAAAAACTAAGTGACTTGCTGCAAATCACACAGTATGTTAGTGACAGGTTCAGGACCCCTGACTGTTACCTACTACCAATTCATTTAGAATGATGTTGATATTTCTCTGATGAAGCAAATTAGCAGTGGATGAGAAGTATAAAGATCAGATCAATGAATAACACTTATTGAATACTTACTAAGTGCTCTATATAATGTTGTAATAACTGTATGAAATAGGTACTATTATTCCAATTATACAAGGGAGGAAACTGCAGCCCAAAAAGATACAAGTAAAAGAAACTTATCCAATATCATACCATTGACTATATGGGAACTCAGGTAGTCCAAACCAGCATTCTAAGCTTTTAACTACTACATTTTCCTACCAAATACAAAGATTATTTCTAAGTTCTAAATTAATATAGGCTGACTAATTATGGTTAGGTAGTGAAAGTACTTTAAATATTGCTGAAATATGTAAGGAATTTATTTCAAGTATACAAAATATGTGGGCTGAACGTGGTGGCTCACACCTGTAATCCCAACACTTTGGGAGGCTGAAGCAGGTAAATTGCTTGAGTCTAGGAATTCAAGACCAGCCTGGGCAACATGGCAAAGCTCCGTCTCTACAAAAAATACAAAAATTAACCAGGCATGTTGGTGTGCATCTGTAGACCCAGCTACTCAGAAGGCCGCAGTAGGAGGATCACTTGAGCCTGAGGAGGTTGAGGCTGTAGTGAACTGTAATTGTGTCACTGCACTTGGGTGACAGAGTGAGATTCTGTCTCCAAAAACAGACAAAAAAAAAGTGGGAAAAATATTTCTCTGGTTTCCATATTTATTTGTTGTCCATTGAATTCAGTAACCATAGTAGTGTTGTAAATTTTTCTTTCATATAAAACATTGAAGTAGGGATGTATAAATTAGTAAATTTTTCTTTCGATATGCCAAGTTGATTAGACTGATATTATCATCAGCTTATTGTCATTTGAAATAATAAAGTCAGAAGCAAATTGCTAGTCTTAATAGTATGTGACATTTATTATTTATTTGATATGCACTGAAGACTTTATTGAGTATAATATAATGTTCTAAAAAATGAAAACTGGCAGTAAGAAAAGGAGACATAAAAGATAAAATTTTAATTTCTGGCTAGATTATTACTTTATTGTAGAAAAATTTAAAGGAAGTAGCTCTTAGAGTAATATAAGTTTTGTGATATTCTTTTGATAAGGCAATTACTAGTCTCTGTCTTCTTAGAAGAGGGAGGATCTTGGGTTCTTTTTGGTAGCTTGAAGTACCCATAATGATTAAGGTACTAAGTTAGCATTTTAAAGGACAGTTTAAAGGTACATTGCCCCAAACAAGTAGAAGTATATAACCCTGAAACTTTAGCCTGAACCTTAGTTCTAGAAAGAAGGAAAGTATAGGAATACCTCAGAAATATTGCAGGTTTAGTTCCACACCACTGCAAATGAAGCTAACATCACAATAAAGTGAGTCACATAAATTTTTTGGTTTCCCAGTGCTGTAAAAGTTATGTTTACACTATACTGTAGTCTACTATATGTGCAGTAGCATTGTGTCTTAAAAAACTGTATATAACTCAATTTAAAAGTTTTTTATTGCTAAAAAATGCTAACAATCATCTGAGCCTTCAGCAAATTGTAATTTTTGCTGATGGAGGGTGATGTCTGGATATTGTTGGCTGCTGATTGACCAGGGTGGTGGTTGCTGAAGGTTGAGGTGGCTGTGGCAATTTCTTAAAATAAGACAACAATGGTTTCAGGTGATGGATATGCTAATTATTCTGCTTTGGTCATTGCACATGGTACACATGTATTGAAATATCATACTGTTCCCCATGAATATATACAATTATATGTCAATTAAAAATAATAATAAAAGCAAAAAAGGACAATATAGTTTGTTATAACAATGGACTGTTCCTTTCACAAAAGTTTTCTGTGTAGCATGCAGTACTGTTTGATGACATTTTACCTATGGTAGAACTTCTTTAAAAATGGGAGTAAATCCTTTCAAAAACTGTCACTGCTATATCAATTAAGTTTATGTACTATTGTAAATCATTTGTTGTTATTTGAACAATGTTCAAAGCATTTTGACCAGAAGTAGATTTCCATCTCAAGAAATCACTTTCTTTGCTCATCCGTAAGAAGCAGCTCCTCATCTGTTAAAGTTATATCATGAGATTGCAGTAATTCAGTCACATCTTTAGGCTTCACATCTTATTCTAATTCTCTTGCTGTTTCTACCACATCTGCAGTTACTTCTTCCACTGAAGTCTTGAACCCCTCAAAGTCATCCATAAGGGTTAGAATCAACTTCTTCCAAACTCCTGTTAATGTTTATATTTTGACCTCTTCCCATGAATCATGAATATTCTTAATGGCATCTAAATTGGTGAATTTTATCCAAAAGATTTACTTTACTTTGCCCAGATCCATCAGATAAATCACTGTCTATGGCAGCTATAGCCTTAAGAAATGTATTTCTTAAATAATAAAACTTTGAAGTTAATTTGAAGTCAAAATTACTGCTTGATTCACGGGCTGCAGAATGGATGTTGTATTAGCAGGCATGAAAGCAACATTAACTTTTTTGTGCATCTCCATCAGAGCTCTTGGATAGCTAGGTGCATTGTCAATGAGCTGGTAGTATTTTGAAAGAAACCTTTATTTCTGAGCAGTAGGTCTGAACAGTGGGCTTAAAATATTCGGTAAACCATACTGTAAGCAGATGTGCTGTCATCCAGACTCTCTTATTTCATTTAGCGAGCACAGGCAGAGTAGACTGAGCTTTATTCTTAGGGCCCTAGGATTTTCAAGATGATAAATGAGCATTGGCTTCCACTTAAAGTCACCAGCTGCGTTAGCCTCTAACAAGAGAGTCAGCTCTGTTCTTTGGAGCTTTAAAGCCAGGCATTGACTTCTCCCCTTTAGCTATGAAAGTCCTACATGGCATCTTCTTCCAATAGGCAGCTGTTGGAAAAAAATCTGTTGAGAAGTCTGTTGGAGAAATCTGCTGTTTAGTGTAGTCATGTTCATTAATTATCTTACTAGATCTTCTGTATAACTTGCTGCAACTTCTATATCAGCACTTGCTGCTTCATCTTTCACATTTGTTAGGGAGATGGCTTCTTTCCTTAAACCTCATGAACCAGCCTCTTCTAGTTCCAGCTTTTCTTTTTGTCTGTTTTTGAGACAGGGTCTCACTTTGTCACCCATGCTGGAGTGCAGTGGCACAATCATGGCTAACTGCAGCCTCGACCTCCTGGGCTCCAGCGATCCTCACACATCAGCCTTTTGAGTACCTAGGACTATAGGTGTGTGCTAGCATGCCCAGTTCATTTCTTCATTTTTTTAGAGACGGGGTCCAACTGTGTTGCCCAGGTTGGTCTCAAACTCCTGGACTCAAGCAATTCTCCCACCTCAGCCTCCCTAATGTTTTGTTGCAGTCATGAGCCAGTGCATCTGGCCCCCAACTTTGCTTCTGCAGCTTTCTCAGCTTTCTCAGCCTTCATAGAGTTGAAGAGAGTTCAGGCTTTGCTCAGGATTATGTTTTAGCTTAAGGGACTGTTGTAGATGATTTAGTCTTCTATCTAGACCAGTAAAACTTTCTATCAGCAATAGGCTGTTTCACTTTTTTTTTTTTTGATCATCGTGTGTTCATTGGAGTAGCACTTTCACTTTTCTTCAAGAATTTTTTTTGTATTCACAACTTAGCTAACTTTTTAGCACAAGAGGCCAGCTTTGGGCTTGTGTCATCTTTCAACATACCTTCCTCTCTGAACTTAATCATTTCTTGCTTTTGATTTAAAGTGAGAGATACGTGTCTCTTCCTTTCACTTGAACATCTAGGTGCCATTGTAGGGTTATTAATTAGTCTAATTTCAATACTATTATGTCTCAGGGAATAGGGAAGCCTGAGAATAATGAGAGAGATGGGGAAATGACCAGTCGAAGCTGTCAAAAGCACATTTTTTTAAATTAAGTTCACTGTTATAAGAGTACAGTTTGTGGCACTTGTAAACAATTATGATAGTAACATCAAAGATCACAGATCACTGTAACAGATATTATAATAATGAAAAAGTTTGAAACATTGTAAGAATTACCAAAATAAGACAGAGACATGAAGTAAGCACATGCTTTTGAAAAAAAAAGGCCTGATTGGACTCTCTGTATGTATAGTTGCCACAACCCTTTAATTTATAAGAAAGGCAGTATCTGCAAAGTGCATTAAAAGGTGTGCCTCTGTGAGGTCTGTGACTCAGTAACACATAGCTCTGCTGGAGTAGAGCTGGGCCTAGAATGCTGGGTTGTCGATGCCCAATTCTGTGTACTTGCAGTACTATCTGAGAACGTCTGAGCTCCATTACTTCCTCTCTTTTCTAATTTCTCTTTTATGTGTTTGTGTGCCTTTGCCTTTCTTCTGTGCTATTTAATTCTAACTTTTCTTTATGTTATTACATTTACTGAATAAGTCTTTGCTTTCTATTTTCAATTTTTAAATCTGGTAGATTTAACTGTATCTTTCAAAAAAGAAACTAAAATTTAAGGATTTGAGAGGTTGAGAGTCAGTAGTGATTATTATTTTTATTCACATGGTCCTCATTTGATGACTTTCCCCCTATTGAGAAGTCAAGGGGAATATTAATGTAACGTGAAAAAGATCTCACAGCCTTATTATCACTAGTTTAGGAAATGTCAAATGTAAATGAACAATTTTCAGAGTTCTAAAGAGAAATATTTAACTGACCCTTTTCCTTGTCCATGTTGGTGAAAAGCAGCCCTGGAGAAAATGTTTTCTAAAAGATATATTTTTCAGTAAACTTTCCAAGAACTATGTTGTATATTTTCTTTTAGCTTATCTACTAGGGAGATTTAATGTATTTATTTTTATTTAAGGAACTGAAGAGGAGTTTGGAGGTCTTGTATCTGCTAATCTTATACTTTTGAGGAACAGACTTCTGGATATCTTGCTAAAACTAATTTATACATCTAAAGAAAAGACAAGCATTAATTTGCAGTAAGTAAATATTTTTAAAAGTTATTATACCAGTTGCTACTATTAGTTAATTCATGTTAGGCAAAAGAAGGAATTGCCATTGACTTTAAATAGATTTTTTTAACCCTGAAGTTTATAGTATCTCAAGAATGAAACTCAGTCTTCTTTTTCCTTTTTGATTGGAAATCCTAATTTCTGAAAGTAATTTTGTTTTTTGTTTTTTAAATCCATCTGTCTTTGAATAGAGCTTGTGAAGAACTGGTGAAGACACTGGGTTTTGACTGGATCATGATGTTTATGGAGGAACACTTACATTCCACCACAGTTACAGCAGCCATGAGGATTCTTGTTGTCCTACTAAGTAATCAGTCTATTCTCATCAAGTTTAAAGAAGGACTCAGTGGTGGAGGATGGCTTGAACAGACAGATTCTGTCTTAACTAATAAGATTGGAACTGTATTAGGTATGAGACTTTTCTAGTAAGCTGCTTGGAAATGAGCTGGTGTGTTTTGTTTTATTTTTAAATTTTATGTAAACTTATCCTCTGCAGTTTGATCACCATTAAGGAGATATTAATTTTAATTAATGATAGAATGAAGATCTTAGAAGATTTCAAATTAGGCCTTTTAAGTGGCAAATCAAACTGAAGACAGATAAGACACTAAGATTTGAAAACTCAGGGAATTCCTCAGCATCTTTTTGTAATATAGGCCTTACTGATCTGTAAGTAAATAATTAGCAAATTATCAGTAGAACTAAATTAATAATAATAATAAATATTTATTTTGAGTACTTACTGTCTGCCAGTTCCTAAACACTTGCCAGGTAATAACATTTCATCACTCTGTGAGGTACAAATACTATCATATCTATTTTACAGATTAGAAAACCAAATTCATTTTACTCAGTCCCAAAGTCTATGCTTTTAACATTTATGTTATATTGCTACACAAGGATGTAAGCTCACTAGTACCATAGCTATTTTCACCCTATAACTGAGCATTTACCTAATGTTAGAAAATTGCAGTTTCCTATGCTAGATTTATTTGAACTCATGTGTTTCCATTCATATTAGTAATATTACTTTGGAAAATATATATTTGAAGGTAGTGTTTTTATTGAAAGGCAAAGTCATTCCGTTCTTAAATAATTTTAGATATACATTTGTCATGTAACATTACCTTGTAAATCGTGTCTAATTGTTGTATGTCTGATCTTAAGAAGCTTATATTGAGAATATCTGTTTACCTTGGTCCAATGGGAAAAATAGGGATTAGAATTTAATATGTAATTTATTTATAGAAAACAAGTTTAAGTATCAGTGTCTAGGTGCTGTCTGTACTACTAATTCAAACATGAAAGCAAATGATAGGAGACAGATCTTTTTCTTTTTTTTTTTTTTGAGACGGAGTCTCGCTCTGTCACCCAGGCTGGAGTGCAGTGGTGCAATCTTGGCTCACTGCAAGCTCCACCTCCTGGATTCATGCCATTCTTCTGCCTCAGCCTCCCGAGTAGCTGGGACTATAGGCACCTGCCACCACGCCCAGCTATTTTTTTGTTTTTTTTTAGTAGAGACAGGGTTTCACCGTGTTAGCCAGGATGGTCTGGATCTCCTGACCTCGTGATCTACCCGCCTCCACCTCCTAAAGTGCTGGGATTACAGGTGTCAGCCACTGTGCCCGGCCATAGGAAGACAGATCTTTCAACATAGTACTATTGTATTGTTATTTCACGTATGAAGAAGGTCTGAAGAAACTTCATATGTGATAAAGGAAAAGTAATATCATTTCCATGTCACTGTGAAGTGATTTCTAAAGAAAATTGTCTGGTTTATAATATACAGTTTAAATGATCATCATAGGTACTTTTGTGCTCAAAAATATATCACTATTTTACATGAACTCTGGGGAAGGATTTAATCTACAGATATAATTGTTTTGAATACTTTGGTAGTAAGAAGTTTCGTTTATTGGCCTTAATAATACCTACTGGAGAATAAATAATGAAAGGCATAATTGAATGTGAGTTCTGTTGAATATGCAAGGTTTAAATGCTAACTGGCAGCAATGGTTATTTGGAAGGCCAACAGCAGCAGGAGTAATCACGCCTGAGATTTATAATAGTACTTTGTGGTTTGAAAAATTATTTCACATATATAATCTCATTTGTCCTCCAAGATTCTGGAGACAGGCATATATTTTATCACGTATAAGTTTTATTTTCTAGAAAATAAGCCTGATGAATATAAAGTAAGGATTAATTTCTCTAATTAGGAAATTAAGACTGTTAACTACATAAGGTTAGTTTGCGAGGCAGTAATACTGTCTAAGAATCTGTCTTCTTAGTCCTGTGCTTTTTCTGTCCTGCATCACTTTCACTGTATCTGACCTACCTGATTTCATGCATTAGAATCTTTTGATCCTTCATTGGTATTTGCGTGAGCATGCATATGCTGCTCCTATTTCAAAGAAGAAATCTAGGTATTCAATTTAAATTTAATTTCAATTTGACCCCGCTTAACTTAATTTTCCCTGAATATCTATCTGACACATACACATTTTTGTGTATATAAACAGGTGTATATATCAGCTCATTTGATTCTATTTCTCCTTGACGGAATAGCAACCTATTTTTTTTTTTTTTACTTTTTTATTCACATTTATTGGTTTTTGTCAAATTTTTCTTTATAAAAATATGTATTTTTTTATTTTACTTTAAGTTCTGGGATACATGTGCAGAACACACAGGTTTGTTACATATGTATACATGTGCCGTGGTGGTTTGCTGCACCTATCAACCCGTCATCTAGGTTTTAAGCCCCACATGCATTAGGTATTTGTCCTAATGCTCTCCCTCCCCTTAACCCCCACCCCACGACAGGCCCGGTATGTGATGTTCACCTCCCTGTGTCCATATGTTCTCAGTCTTCAACTCCCACTTATGAGTGAGAACATGCGGTGTTTGGTTTTCTGTTCCTCTGTTAGTTTGCTGAGGATGATGGTTTCCAACTTCGTCCATGTCCCTGCAAAGGACATGAACTCATTCTTTTTTATGGCTGCCATAAAAATCTTCCATGTAGCTGAAACTTGTATCTAAATTACTGCTTAATCGTAGTATATTAAATATTCCTTAAGATCAATTATAGGGAAAAATAATGTGAGACTTCAGAGAGGAAAATGATAATGCCAGTTTTGTCTTTTTTGTTTTGTTTTTTTTTTTTTTTCAGAACTTGCAGTGTAATCAAAATCTGTTTTACTATTTAATGTATAAAATACCACTTCATGTCTTTTGGTTTTCTTTTTCATTTTTTAAAATTTTTTTATGTTTTAGAGATTGGATCTTGTTATGTGGTCCAGGCTAGACTTAAACTCCCGGGCTCAAGCAGTCCTCCCATCTCAGCCTCCTGAGTAGCTGAGATGTCTTTTGATTTCTTAGAGCTCAAAACATTATTTATTCTTATAATTTTATTTAGAATTTACTATAAAAAAAATCAGCACGATCTTCTAATTAAGGCAATCTTTCAGAAATGTGGCAGTTTCATTAATAAGGGCAAAGAAAATAATAATTTTCAGACTCTAAAATGGAGAAATTCGTTTTCATAGCATAGTACTGCCACTTATGCCCACATTGTGACTTGAACAAATCATGTTTTCTCTGTTGTAAAAATGATAATAGTAATTTCTACCTCACATATTCTTTGTGATTAAGGAGTGATATGGGAAAGAGCTTGTTGAATTGCTATATAATTTTTTATTAATTAGAAGAGCATCCTTTGGAAGTTAATTCATGTCACACTGAGAAATTGGTTAGGATAAAATATTTTAAAAGCAACGTAGACATAAAATGTTCCTTTATTATGTAAAACAGTAGTTGTAATATGTACTTTGCAGCATTCCAGAAAAAAAGAAGTTGAAAAAAATATGGCTATCTATGCTGAGTGCAGTTGCTCATGCCTGTAATCTTAGCGCTTTGGGAGGCCAAGGTGGGAGGATCACCTGAAGCTAGGAGTTTGAGACTAGCCTGAGCAACATAGCAAGACCCTGTCTCTACAAAAAAAAATGTTTTAATCAGCCAGGCATGGTCGCATGTCCCTGTAGTCCTAGTTGCTGGTGAGGCTGAGACGGGAGGATCCTTGAGTCCAGGAGTTTGAGGTTAAGTGAGCTACGATCACGCCACTGTACTCCAACGTGAACCCTCCAGAGTGAACCCTCATCTCTTAAAGAATAAATAACAAATGCAAATATCTATTTGAAATACAAATTGCTTCAGATTGAAATAAATTCTTCATCTATTGGTTGCTATTCGCAAAAGTTTCCGATGAAAATTTGAGCAACATTCACTGTGTAATGAGTACTTCCCTAGGTGTGGGGTGAACCAGATGTTTAGGGTGTATCCTGAATTTCATTATAAAACAGAGGAAACAAGATTGATAGAAACACTGCTGCCATAAGCTATATTAGTAAGAACTGACCATCTCCTTTAAAAGCTGGGTTTCTAGAGGGAATTCCGGATGTTAAGCTCAGCCAGTGGATAGCTGCAGCCACAACAGGCTTGGATTTGCCATCCCACTGCCCAGCAGCTTTCCAACAGATTACAGATGATGTTGTGAGTAAAGATTGTTTTACTTACTCATTTAGTCTTATCTCTAAATTCATAGGTAATTTAAGGTTAGCTAGTTTCTCATGATTTTCAGGACAAATGAAATATATTGTTATAACAAGTTACAAAAATTAGCTGGTGGTGGTAGCTCATGCTTGTAGTCCCAGCTACCTAGGAGGCTGAGGCAGGAGGATTGCTTTGAACCCAGGAGGTGGAGATTTAGTGAGCCAAGATCATGGCATTGCACTCCAGCCTGGGCAACAGAGCAAAACTGTGTCTCAAAAAAATAAAAATGTATTATAACAAGGATATTTTTAAGTTATATTTTTGTAGCATTCTAAATTTTGGCTGTATTTTGGATTTCACTTTTTTCTTGGGGAACTACAAGCCAAGAACACTAGAGCTCCTCTGAGGTCTTTCATTTAATAAGTAGAACTTCTAGCACCTTAAGAAGGATTTTCAAACTCCTTGTATCTTATTGTCCCAACTGTGTTTCAAAACCTATATCCTAATAGACAGGCTTGCTCAAGTCAAACAAATGGTAAAGTAAAACTTTTGACTGAAGATTAATTCAACAATTGAATACTTAATTACCTATAGTAATATGAATGTTCTGGATAGAAATGTTAACACATACTGAATTGCTTTCTCCTTTGTTAATGCAGCATGTTTATCAGTTGCTAATTTTGCACTTACTGTTATATTTCCTCTTCTCTTAGGATTCAATGTGGGCAGAAGTGCTGGTGGGAGATCGACAGTCAGGGAGATTAACCGAGATGCTTGTCATTTTCCTGGTTTTCCAGTCCTTCAGTCATTCCTTCCTAAACACACTAATGTCCCTGCCCTCTATTTTCTCCTCATGGCATTGTTTCTGCAGCAGCCAGTTAGTGAGCTGCCTGAGAACCTGCAGGTCAGTGTGCCTGTCATCAGCTGCCGGAGTAAGCAGGGTTGCCAGGTAGGAATTATCTAGCAAGGGGCGCGTGAAATTATGTATTCCAAAGAATCACCGTAGGATAATGGATAATCACTGTAAAACCAACTGTCAATTCCATCACTTTCCCCACATTTAAGGTTTGATTTGGGACAGAAAAATTTGAAAATACCACAGAAAATTTTCCCAAAAGTCCTTTGTCCCTATTTACATTTTTTTCCTATATGATTACTCTGTATATTATATATGCATAAAGACTCTGTATGATATTTAATGGTGATCTAAATAACTCTTTTGTTACATGATTTATTTTATTTTATTTTATTTTATTTTATTTTATTTTATTTTATTTGTGAGACAGAGTCTTATTCTGTCACCCAGGCTGAAGTGCAGTGGCGTGACTGACTGAAAATTTCACCTCCCGGGTTCAAGCGATTCTCCCACCTCAGCCTCCTGAGTAGCTGAAACTACAGTCAGGCGCCACCCCACTGGGCTAATTTTTGTATTTTTAGTAGAGACAGGGTCTTACCATGTTGGCCTAGCTGGTCTTGAACGCCTGACCTCAGGTGATCCACCTGCCTCAGCCTCCCAAAGTGCTGGGATTACAGGCATGAGCCACTGTGCCCAGCCTGTTATGTGATTTATTTCTGCGGAATTAAAAATGAAAGGAGTAGCTTATATACCATAAATTAAATATCACTCCTCGAGTGGGTGTGACAGGATTCTCAGTGCAAATTCTGATTAGGGGAAAAAAAATTACTTAATGATAGATATTATCAACATTAGGAAAACAGTAAGACTTTAGTTGACTTCTGATTGAAGACTATTAAAGATGTCTGTATATAGCTAATGTTTGTGGTACTGCAAAGACTTAGGAATTTAGCTTTTAGATTCAACTATGCTTCCATCCTAATGCCAAATGCTATTCAAATCAATTCTAGTAGTTGACAAAATCTTTTAAGTGTAAACACTTGAGTCTGTGCCCTTAGATTAAATCAAGATACAGATTCATGCTTAGCGCAGTTGTATTGGTTATGCAGTTTTTCAATATCCATAGTACCATAGTCATAAAGTTTATTTATAAACCTGCTATTAATAAGTCTCAATTTTTATTTTATCAGATCTTATCTGTAAGTAATCTAAAATTAAAATATTGCAGAGAATGGGAAAGAAGTGAGCTTAATGTGCTTTGTTTAAAAGATCTTACTTAAATTTATTTGTTCTATAATTTTATCTCTTGGCTAATTAACGTGTGTTTTATTTTTACATTCTTTAGGAAAAAAGTAGAAAGCAATTTTTTAACATAGGTACCTAAGGCAGGATGCAGAATAATACATAGTATTCAATTTTTTTATATCTATAAAAATGAGTTTTAAAATGTAGGATGGAAGGGTACTAGTTCTTTATGTCTATATCATTGGTTACTTTTAAAAACAACAAAAAACTAGTTTCAAAGAAATTTTAGACTATTAGAACTTACGAGGGTCTCTACTGAAAAATTAGTGGTGGCTAATATTTGCTTACTTTCACCTCTGCAGTTTGACTTGGATTCCATCTGGACATTTATCTTTGGAGTTCCTGCCTCCAGCGGAACTGTGGTCTCTTCTATCCATAACGTGTGCACAGAAGCTGTTTTTTTATTATTGGGAATGCTCCGCAGCATGCTGAATTCAGTAAGTTCACTCAGATACCCAGGCCTATTGAGAGTTCCTCCTGCCTGGGATACTTTCTTGTAAATAGAGGAATTTTTTGGTAACATAACTACTTATTTACTGCATGATCTCTGGAACTTGAGACTCTTAATGTTAGACAAAGTTATGTCTAATGTAAGAACACACTGTGTAGTTGTTAAGACCATGGACTCTGAAGCCCTACCTGGGTTAAAATCTCACCTCTGGTACTTCCAACCTGTTATCCTCAGTTATGTGCCTCAGTTTCCTGGTGTTTAAAATGCCGGCGATAATAGAATGCATCTCTTAGGGTATTTGTGAGGAATTAATAAGATAGTGTATACACATAAAGCACTTATAAACATGCCTGATACATAAGTGTTTCATAAGTATTAACTTATTATTATAGAATATATAATAATGAGTACATATGTAATGAGTATATATTTGTAGTGAATGTTATTACAATTATAATATTACATAATATTTCAACTTTTAAAGTCACTTTCTTTTAGAGGTCAGAAATGTTAACAATACAAGTTTCATTTGATTTTGTTTTTGCTTTTCTTCTGCTCTAATTATGTCTAACTTAGAGATGAAGAATTGAAAGAGTAAAAGACAAAATTGATGTTCCTATCGATCTGACAGGAATACAGTGAATAATGACCAGATTTGTTTGTACAATTTAGGATTGTGTTGTAACAGGAAATATTAACTTGACTCCTTGAATTACATGTACCTGACAAATCTAATTTCAGTCAAAACTATTGTGGTATCATCTAAGAATAGAACATTACCATTAGATGTACTAATTTAGAATGTTTTAGGAGTCTTGTTTTGGTGCCTATTCATAAACAGCTACAAAAACATAAGAAAAGTTTTTTAAAAGATACTCTCTGGGCAGATATCAGAAGATATACATTGTTCAGATATACAGTATTCATGGTTTTTCTTTAATCATCATCATTGTTGTATTACATAATGCTTAAGAGTGAGGCTCAGAAAGGTGAAGTAATTTCCCCACCTTTTATCTTACTCCTAACTTCCTAGCATGATGCACGATGGGGCAACATTGATGGTAATACAGCCACTTTGGTACCACCAACAATCATGATAATAATAATGAATAATCAAAACCACTGATAATGGTTAGCAGACCTGTGAGTAATGCAACGATTAGACAATGATCCCATCAGTTTCTAAGGGGATTTTTTTTAAGCTAATTTCTAAATTTCTTTGCATGTGTGTTTGCTCATATGTGTGGTTTACAGAGTTCTGTACCATCAGTATATCCAGTTTCATAAGAATACTGAGTAGTGGATTTTTAAAATAATTTATAGCAGTGTCAATTACTCTAACATAGTGTTTCCTCTCATGTCCCCATAACAGCCTTGGCAATCAGAAGAAGAGGGATCTTGGCTCCGAGAATATCCTGTGACCCTGATGCAGTTCTTCAGATATTTGTATCACAATGTCCCAGACCTTGCCTCCATGTGGATGAGCCCTGACTTCCTGTGTGCACTAGCAGCCACCGTCTTCCCCTTCAATATTCGCCCTTACTCAGAGATGGTAGGAAAGGGGGAGGAAAATGTCAGAACTGGAATTAGTCTGTTTCAATGGTTAGCAGATTTTTTTTGACAATCTTTAAGCTGCTGAACAAGTTACAGTTTCATAACTTTATACATCACCTCTTGCATTATTGTCTGGTGTCCCCAGCTCCCCACAGTTTCCTTCTGCTTTCTCCTAAAATCACAGTGAACTCTACTTCCTTTTCTCATTCACCATATTCTTGTAAGTCCCTTGTTAGTAATTTCCCTTTTCAAATAGTTGATTCATTTCTTATTTAAATGATGCCAGCTGTGTAGTTATAAAATGTTCTTTTCCATTAAGATAACTCTAGTCCAACCAAATTTATTTATTTATTATTTTAGGAAGTAGATATTTGCTGGATTTAACTTTTACAAATAAATTATAGGGTTGAAAGCAAGTGTTGGTCCTTTCTTCCGCCTGACTTTTCTTTTTTCATTAAACTTTTATTTTGCTTATTTTGTACTAACTTAAAAACTACTAGATATAATCACATATAGTATGTATAGATACTCTTTTGTCCTTTAAAATAAGCCCAAAAATTGTGTTAGCATGTACAATATCATATCTTCATATGCTGCCTTGTTTCCTGCTTTGAAAATATATTCACATGGAAATTCACTGAACCACATTTTTGCAGAGGCCTTGATGGATAATTTCATAACTTAGAGTCTAAATACTGTTCATTACAGTAACTAATAGTTCAGTTGACATAAATACTGATGACTTCAAAACAAATAAACTACTGTAATTTACACAAAACCATATTGCAGGGGCTTGTACTTACCACTTTTGCACGTTGATGTTGATTAGCTAATAAACTGTAAACATAAAACAGGCTGAAAAATAAATAGATAGAACACACCCAAAAGATAGTTATTCCTCCATAGTACTTCAAAATTTCATGATTTTTCTTCTTATTTCCACCATGTACTCTAGAACCTGGGGTAGATGACCTTCTTTATACTAATTTTTCTCCATGTTTAAAGGTACAGTACTTACTTTAAAATGGTGGGGATTTTTAGGAGAAGGGCAAATATGACACATGACCTTAATACCCTGGCTTATTTATAATGTTTAGAATCCTTATTTTTGGTTAAAAAAAAAAAAAAGACCTGGAATAATATATCAATGTCTTTTTGTTGTCAGCATCTTTTTTTTTTTTTTGAGACAGGGTTTCGCTCTTATCATCCCAGCTGGAGTACAATGGTGGCATGATCTCGGCTCACTGCAACCTCCGCGTCCCAAATTCAAGCGATTCTCCTGCCTCAGCCTCCTGAGTAGCTGAGATTACAGGCATGGACCACTATGCCTGGCCAGTTTTTCTGTGTTTTTAATAGAGATGGGGTTTCGCCATGTTGGCCAGGCTAGTCTGGAACTCCTGATCTCAGGTGATCCGCCCACGTCGGCCTCCCAAAGTACTGGGATTACAGGCCTGAGCCACTGCGTCTGGCCATCAGCGTCTTATAATTTCTTTGCTAGTCTGTCTCTCTCTGTCACTTGGTTCAAAATTGGTACTAGTATTGTTGGTTTTTTTAATTTATTTATTTATTTTTTTAACCTATAAAAAATGGATCAGCCCTTACATGCTACCATTATGCCAGATTTTTATCTGAAATTCTGTGACATTTGACTTCACAGTAGGGGTAGAGTTCAAATATGGAAACATAGTTATCCTCATTTTATTCCATATATTTTAAGTGCAGTTAGCCGCAGTAGACATATAATTCAACATGAAGGTGGTATGTTGTTAGTGGTCAGTCAGAAACACCATATGTTGCATAACCATGACATATGGTGCCAGATTACTACCTTGAAAGGAAGGGTCGAGTAAAGCAGAGTGAAATAATGTGCTGAACAGCTTAGTAGGTGGAAAATGCTGCTGCTACAGTTTTATTTTTAGGAAACACAGAAGTAGAAATGTCAGAGTCTAATGTGATTACTGTATCTTTCCACTTGATTTTACTAGGTGACTGACCTTGATGATGAAGTTGGATCTCCAGCAGAAGAGTTTAAAGCGTTTGCAGCAGACACAGGGATGAACAGGAGCCAATCAGAGTACTGCAATGTGGGCACCAAGACATATCTGACCAATCACCCAGCTAAAAAGTTCGTTTTTGACTTCATGAGGGTCTTAATCATAGACAACCTCTGTCTCACCCCTGCCAGCAAGCAAACTCCACTAATTGATCTTTTGTTGGAGGTAAAGAAATGCATTTATATCTCTTTTGCATTATTTTTTAAATTAGAACATTAGTAACCAAGCAAGTTCTATGCCAAAGATTTTTAATTCCTCTTGTTTATGTGTAGGCAGAACATGTTATAGGCTGTGCAAAGTTGTTAATCCCACATGTGCTTTAGACCCTATCAATTTGTTCTTCTTTTCCTTCCCTCAAAGATGTCTCTAATTCAGTCCTTTATCATCCTTTCTCTAGAAGCTGGCAGACTTCTTCTGTAAAAAGCCAAATAGTAAATATTTTAAGCTTGTGAGCCATACAGTCTCTGTCACTACTATTCAGCTACGTTGTTGTAGCTAGAAAGCAGCCATGGACAATAAGTAAGAGAATGAGCATGGCAGCGTTCTGATAAAACTTTATCTACAGAAACAGCACAGGCTGTATTTGGCCCACAGGCCATAGTGTGCCAATCCCTTCCCTGGACATTAACAGTGCCTAGTGCCATTGTCTTCTTACCTTATAACTTCCTACATCAATTTATCTTACCTATCATTGCCAGGTGTTACTGTTGTCAGTGTCCTGTGCAGCTTAAGACATGGTGTATTGTACAGAATAGGTGCCCAGGATGCACTTGTTAAATTCCCCAAGGCAGCAAACTTCTAGGTTGCCTGCCTGCCCATTCTCCTGACAATTAATATGAATCAACTGATATATCAGAAAATGAGAGTAGCTCTAAGCCTTTAAGTGACCTCATTGCTGGCTCTAGAAATTAGCTATCCCAGAAAAGTATTAAAAAATGTTTACCTAGAAAAGCCTGAAGATATCACAGAGAGATAATTTAATACCGTATAATTAGTTGCATATACATTAATGTTCTTTTGACCAATTCATGTAAATAAGGTCAAACAGCCCATGCCAGGGGCTCTAAAAATAACATGTTTTGTGGCCGGGCGCGGTGGCTCACGCCTGTAATCCTAGCACTTTGGGAGGCCGAGGCGGGCGGATCACGAGGTCGGGAGATCGAGACCATCCTGGCTAACACGGTGAAACCCCGTCTCTACTAAAAATACAAAA